TGCGCGAGATGGCAACGTTGCTCTGGGTCTGATGGAGGCTGGTGCTGGGGGTGCGCACGGGTTCGAAGCTGGGGTGCTCGGTTGGGATGGTGGAGAGGGAGGAGGCACTGGAATGCGGGGATGAGGGCATGGTGATTTGGAGGGGGAATGCGATGCGGAGATGGGCATGAAAGCGATGTTCTGCGATGGGGTTGCATTTAAATGATGCCCATGGTGACTGGGAGAGCAAAGTGGTGGTGTCATCATTGCGGGAGAGAGCCACGGTTCGATCACAAAGGGACGGTGTATGTAACATGAGGGCTGATCTTGGTACGGATGAGGGCTGCACACAATATACCTATCCAGAACGAAGCTATACTCAACATCCCAGCCCCCCCTCTCCCACAGCATATATCTACTAAGTATTCTATAAACTCAACCCATCTACCGCGTAGCAGCCAAATACCCGTCCAACGCGGCATAAATCGCCTTAACATACTCCCTGGCGCGCTCATTCTCCGCCAACCCCATATCCATCTTATTCATGGTATACGTGACGGTGACCCCCCTCTCAACGTCCATCAACCCCAACGACCCGCCCCAACCCGTCCAATACCCCACCCTCCTTCCATCAGGCAACCAACTGGGCCCCGAAGGCCTCGCCATCGCCATGCCCACCCCAAACGTGACCGGAGTGCCCAGCACCAGATCCACGCCGGACACCTGCTCCTGAAAAATGAGATCGACCGTCTCCTCCTTGAGAAACCTTTTCCCGCCCACAACCCCCTTGAGGGTCACCACCTCCAGAATCCGATTAATCGCCCTGGCATTCCCAAACCCATCCGACGCCCCCATCTCCGCGTGCCGGAACCCCGGCGTGGCCGGACTATCCACGCCGACCGCTCCGGCGGCACTCGATATCGCCCGCGCCGCCACACTCCCTGGCTCCAACACGGGCATCTCCCACTCCGCCGGCGGCGGCGGCACAAGCGCCGCGATCCGCGCCCACTCGCGCTCGGGGAGATCGAGGAAGAACCCGCCCGCCGCGCCGAGCGGCACCACCAGCTCGCTGTGGATGAACTCGCTCAATCCCCGGCCGGTGACCTGCCGAATCAACCCGCCCAGCAGGAACCCGTACGAGAGGATGTGGTACCCCGAGGCCGTGCCGGGCTCCCACCAGGGGGACTGGGCGATCAGGCGCGCGGTGCAGACCTCCACGTCCAGGATCTCCGAGGCGGTGGGCCCGGGGCTGTCCCACCCCGCCAGGCCGGAGGTGTGGCTGAGGAGATGGCGGACTTGGATGCGCGGGGAGGCCGTGAAGGCGGGCCAGTAGTGGCTGACGGGGGTGGTCGCGGAGAGTTGGCCGCGGTCGATGAGGAGGAGGGTGCTTAGCGCCGTGATCAGTTTCGTCAGGGACCAGACGGGGACGAGCGTCGTTTCTTCCCAGGGTGCCGCAGGGGTGGAGGAGGTGGCGGGGCTGGCGGTGCTGCCGCCCCACAGGTCGAGGACGGTTTCGCCGTTGATGCTTACGCAGAGGGAGGCGCCGATCTCGGTGCCGGTTTGCAGGTGTGTTGAGAAGAGGGCGCGCACGGCCGCGAAGGCCGGGTGCGAGGTTCCTTTGACGGTGGGGGTGGGCATTCGGGTGGGTTGGGTGGGTTGGGTGGGTTGGGTGTTGATGAGAGGGAGCAGGAGGAGAGAAGAAGAGGATGAGGGAAGGAAGGAAAGAGAGGAGGAATGAAAGGGAAAAGTTAGAAAGATATGTATAGATTTCTGCCTGGAAATGATGTATATGTGTACTGTATGAACTGACTGACTCAATGCTGAGGTGAGATTAGACGAGGATCTGCCTCGGTTTATCCTAGTTCGGATTAGCTGGGCTACGAGGTAGTGACTAGTGCCACCATGATTCAAGCTAAAGCTACTCTTCTGTACTTCTTGTGCATCTCTCAATGTACAGTACAGTGTCCAAGCAATACGGTCATTGTTCGACTGGGCATCGGGTTGGGTGGGAAAAGAATGTTGATGACTCCATACTATATACATGTACATCTAGACCCGACTCTTAGCCATCTCGACGGCATCGTCCAGCCGGCCGTCCTCCACAGCCTTGGTCGGCTGCGCATCCCCCAGCCTCAAATCCTTCAATGACAGACTAATCAAGAACCCGAACCCGGCAACAGCGGTGTACAGTACCCAGACCCAGCTCAACGCCTTCGTCAATGCATCTAACACCACCTCCCGCTCCTCGCCCTTGGGCAACATCTTCACAAATGCCTCCGCCGCGGTGGACGCTGCCACAATCTCCTCCGCCAGGGTCTCGCCTAGCACCGCTGCCATCGTTCCCTCCTTCGTGCTCACCACATGACCATACACCACCGATGCAACCACCACCGACACCGCCGAAGCGAGCTGCCGGATGAAGGAGAAGGTCGCCGTCCCTCGGCCCAGCTCCTCCGGTTTGGTGTTCGCCTGCAACGCAATCAGCGTCGCCTGGAAGTTCGGCCCAATGCCCAGCCCCACTACCACCTGAAACAGAATGATCCGCGGCCACGAAGCGTATGACTGGAGGTCGATGTAGAGTCCAAAGCCAAGGGTCGTGAACAGCATCCCCAGACAGATCGCCTCGCGCGATCGGCCGGTACTCCGCATGTAGAATCCCCCCAGCCCGGACGAGATCGAAAGGGCGACGACGAGCGGGAGCAGGTACACGCCGCTCATGAGGGAGCTGGCGAGGAGGACGTTCTGGAAGTAGACGGGCAGATAGAAGCACCCGCCGATAAACACGGTGGCGTGGCAGAAGTTGATGAGGAGGACCGTCAGATTGTAGGGGTTGGAGAAGATGGTGATGGGGATGATGGGCGTGCGGGCGAATTTCCACTCATGGAGGAGGAAGAGACCGGCCGTCACTAGCCCGAACACGATGAGGCAGATGATCGTGGCGGACGACCAGGGGTACTGGGAGCCCCCGAATTCGAGGCCAAAGAGGAGCATGAGTGTGGCGCCAACGATCAGGAAGAGGCCGGTCCAGTCGATGGCTCGAAGGCCAGCTGCGAGCGGGGTGAGCGGGGCGGTATCGAGTTTGAGGAAAAACAGAAGACCGAAGAAGGCGAGGCCTCCGATGGGAACTAGATGAGGTTAGCGATGTAGCAATGGCGGTGCCACGAGCACGTACGGTTGATGTAAAAGCACCAGCGCCAAGTCGAGTAGGTGGTGAAGGCGCCGCCGATGATGGGTCCGATGGCACCGGCGATAGCCCAGGTTGCCCCAAAAATACCTAGATACGCCGACCGGCGGCGCACATTAAACAGGTCGGATACGCAAATATTGGCCAACACAGTAATGCCTCCGCTCCCGACTCCCTGTATGGCGCGGCCCGCGATGACCATGGCGACGTTAACGGCCACGCCGCAGATCAAACTCCCTCCCAGGAAGAGCACCACGGAGATGATGAGAATGGGCTTTCGGCCCCAGATGTCGCTGATCCGACCCCACAGTGGGACACACGATGCATTGGCAAGAAGGTACGAGGATGCGATCCAGGAGTATGCGCTGTCGGAAGCTTTGAAGTGGGCCACCATTTCTGGTAAGGCCGTCGAGACAATAGTCTGTCAGGGGTAAGTGTGGTTATCCATGATACTCAAAGAGAAAAGCCTTACAATGTCCAATGCTGCCAGAAAGACGCATAGCTATGCAAGCATGTTAGCGATTGTTACATAGGGTTGTGCTCGCACAGGTGCTCGTACACTCAGCGCTGTCATCACGACAGCGATTCTCTGTTTGCTCTGATGGTCGGCCGGCGAATCATCCTCCGCTGTAATTGGAGGGACATCTTTGCCCACATTTGACTCCAATAAATCGTGCTCATCTTCCATTTGCTGGTATGGACGGGGAGACGATCCTTCCTCCGTCTTGACAGCCATGGTCGGAGTTTAGGGGTGAAAACCTGGAATGAATGAAACTGAAGGATAGAACGAACGACAAAACGAGGGATGATTGCTTAGGTGAAGGAGTGAAAAGTATGATGGTGATATTAAAGTCAAGAAACATTGACACAAGTGTCTGGGAAGGCCAACCCCCGCGACAGCGACAGGCCACGAGGGTCGAGAGGTTTCGGATAGCCGAAGCTCCTTGACAGCCCATCTCGAAGCATGAGGAGCCCCACTGGCTCGATCGAACCTGGTGTTAAACCTCCCGATTACGGATGGCGATTGGTGGTATCTGCCTAGGCCCACTAGGTGTATATCCACCCGACGTCATTTCATGGCGCCTGGGAATGTTTTCCAGGTTAAGGCTGGGGGATATCCTTAAGGGGTAAATAGGCGAGTTGCCTCGGGTAACAATGAGGAAAGTACGTGTAAGGGGGAAGTCGGGAGAGGACTCATCCGCCGTGGTAGGAGGACTTTCGACACAGGAACATTGCGTCCCATGGTGCAGCAGCAGATGTCTGCGGGGCACTAGATGTGTGTTCCTCGAAACCTTGATGAAAGATTCAGAATCAGAAGGAGACGACGGTCATGGAGAAAGTGAGGGAATCCACAGAAAAGACTTTCGGCTCAGTAGCCATGGCTTGCCCGGTGGAGCACGATGAACGGGCAAAGCCTGACCAATCCTAGGTAGCTGAATATTGGAGTGTGAAAAAGTCTGGGCATCTAAGGCAATGCTCTTTCAAAGAGTGATGGTGGCTGAGCTGGTCAGGGAACCTTTAAGATGGCAGACTAAAGGTAGGTAGGTATTGAAGATGAAGATGAAGATATCTGGGTGAGTGCATAAATCTAAGTTACTTCACTAAGTGGGCGGGTGAGTCAGCAATCCCGGATCTATGCAGCACGTGACACCTCTCCTCAGTACTCAACCAGGAGATGCTCAGTCAGGTGACTACCCCGCGAGTTTCTCCGACCGTCTTTGCCTGGTGGCTGCCTGGTGACTGCCTGGGTGCCTGATCGAGTCTTATCGATAAGGCTCCAAGCAATTGCCAACACAACAAACAAATTCACCTGCTGCCTTGGTCCATCACCGCTCATGCCATGCCATCATCATTTACTCTCTTCACTCTCCTCCATGACATCTCTCGGGCATCTTAAGAGCAGTCAAATTGAATCTACTCTGTTTCAATTTTGTTGCATTCGCTTCCGAATGTCTGTGACTGCCTTCGCTATTTTATCCTTTCTGTCCCCCAAGCATATTCACCACGTCGGTTGAATGCCTGGCGTCCATCAACACACCTCTACTACTTCACGGGGCCGGCGACCACCCCTAGTCCATCATCCAGCCTCGTCTCTTCGTGAAAATCTATCTGACAATCATCAACCATCAATTCTCTCACTCCAAGCTCCCCTCCCAGTCTCTGTCCAGCCTACCGAAGACCAAGATGCTACCAGATGCCGACATAAACGCTTTGGACAGCCACCTAGGCACCATTGTCCGCGAAAACCAACAACACCACGACAACCTGCAAAACTTGCTCTCCAAGTTCCAAGAGCTGCTCGAAAGCTACAATAATTTGAAGAGTGATTACGAGGAGGAAAAAGAGGGACGGGAGCGTTACAAACGGTTGGCGAGGGGGCAGGTATGCGGGCTCCAGCTTGTGCTTGGCCAGCAGCTAAAGGGAAATACCTAGGAACGGAACCCGTTTGTGTTGGTCCTAGTTGACGGTGATGGCTACCTGGTATGCGTCCATATGCTCTGTCATGTACGGCACCTGACTGATAAGGGGCCTAGTTTAAAGAACACCTGATCAAAGCTGGAAGCGATGGAGGTATCACGGCTGCTCGACTCATGCATGACTCGATTCGCGAGTTACTACATGACCGCCTTGGGGGTCACGCGGACCAATGTCGGATCATGGTTCGCATCTATGCCAACGTCCTGGGTTTATCCAAAGCTCTGGCGCGCTCCGGACTTGTGGGCCATGAAGCCCGATCGTTATCGCCCTTTGTAGCCAACCTAACAAGCTCCCAAGATTTGTTCGACTTTATCGACGCAGGGGACAAGAAAGAAGCGGCTGATTACAAGATAAGAGGTCAGCCTGTCCTCCCAACTGCCACGTCCTGTTCGCTGACCGAGATAGAAATGTTTCGGATGTTTGCTGACAATAACCAATGCAAGCATATTTTCTTCGCCGGGTGCCACGATGCCGGGTACCTAAATTTACTAACCCCCTACCGTGGACGAACAGATCGTATCACCCTTCTTAAAGCGGCCGGGTTCCATAATCAGTACAATACTCTAGACTTGCCGGTCAGAGAACTTCGGGAGGTCTTCATGTCGACACCCTTCGCTGGTGTTCACGCAAGGGAGTCTCCAAGTCAAACTCAGAGTCAATCTCAGATCATACCGCCCTCGCTCAGCCGTCCGGTCTGTAAGCATTATCAAAAAGTAGCACCCACCGTGGCCCAAGTGTCGTGCTGAGCTAACGTAGCTACAGGGCATTTGCAGGTATGGAAGCACATGCATCAAGCTCCACATACAACCAAATCAACAGATATCTAAAGTCCCCGACGATACTTCATCAATCTTTGACCGAGAAAATTCGTCTCCATCCCGAACTCACGAATACTATGCAGCCAATCTGCCAACCACTACCGACCCATTCTATGGGACTCATGTGCCTATCAACAAGACTGGGGATCGCATTGATACCTACTGTGCCGCACCCTCGCCTGAAGCGCGGGACCAGTACTCTCGTCGTGCCAGATTCCACCGGCCTTGCAACAACTTTCACTTAGCCGGACACTGTGATACTGTAAACTGCGAATTCGACCATGGCCCCATCGACATCAACAGCCGCAGTGTGATGGCCCACATTCTACGCCAGCACCCGTGTGGCGCCGGTCTCACTTGCCGATCAATGAAGTGTTTCCTCGGCCATCACTGTCAGAAAGACGGATGCCGGGGCACCAAACCGTGCAGATTTAACAGGCATGCTCATATGCTGGACCTGCACATTGCCAAGTGGGTGCCAGCCTTGGAGAAAGAAGACGTTGTCGCACCCTCCGTGAGCGATGCATCAGAAGAAGCTAGCCCGGTTGACTCCGACAACACCTTCGCATATTCAACCAACGATACACTATCTTGAAGCGCTGAACGATCTATAAGGATCGGTGCATAGGGATTCGATACTATATCCGAGACTGGAACGATCGTAACGGAGACATAGGTATTAACACTAAGATGGAATCATTAACTACGCCGCCTGCATTAGGTCGTTCTAGGGTCAATATGTAAAACCAGATTACCTCAGGTACATGGAGGTAATAATGCGATAGCCCACATTTGAGCATAAATGAAATCGTTCCTCTGGATGTTTCCCACGTTATCTGACATTCAAATGCCGACCTTTTACACGGACCATCAGGAGCCAATTTACCTTGAAATTGTGCCAGGCCTGGCTGACTTACAGACACTAACAATCCCAGGCTCCTGCTTTGCGGTGGGCTACGGGCAGCAGCTCCCTTGACGGCCCTGAAATCGCCTCCATGCAATATTCCCATGCAATATTCCCATGCAACGCTCCAATGTATTCTCGCATTGATATCCACCTGAACCCAGGTCGATATCTGACCCCGCAAGAACAATGTCTTTTTGACACTGGTGGATACAAAGAAAGCACTAAGAAGTTTCTCTTGCGACCGCCTAATCGTTCTTAGTGTTTCACTTTACCTGAGCACTTTCTTTTCAAAAATTTGAGGGAGTTTACCGGGCCACTGATTGTTCTTGACGCTTGGTCGAATTAGCCTACTTCTTTGAGTTCTGGCACTTTCGGCTGGAAGCCAACACTGGCTTGGCTTTGTGCTTTCATGCTGGATGAAGTACCTCGTTTGCTCCAGGTCGCCATCAAAGAGCAGCGGCTGTGATCTCCGGGTTGCTAATGCTACAGAGCATTATGCCGTTCATAGGAGTCTCCTTACCCAGCCGGCTTTGGTCGTCATGATAAAGGAAACAGAACTTCACCAGCGCGGCCCACATTGGCATATTTCGTCGAACAAACAAAGCAATGCCGTCCTCTCGCCTCTTCCAACATGAGGTTTGGGATTATGTCGGGTCGACGTACTCCAATTCCTTTTCAAAGCAAAAGGTATAAAATGGACTCTAAATCACATAGACGAGGGTTTCTGAAGGCTCTAGTATCACAAGCTCTCATCTACGCTACGGTATAGATTTCGCACGGTACACAACTTGCTCACTGCAAACGCTTGCCATCGTCACCACAGAAAAGACTTACAACAATGCCGTCCCAGCTTTCCAGGTTCCCCGAGATATGCCCCCGGTGCAAGAACCGGTACAACGTCCGGGTTCTGGCTGAGCTGTACCGCACCCAACGAGCACGACTGCCTGTCTCCGCATTCCCCAGAGCAGAGGCACAGGCCAACCCGGAGGAGTCATGCGAGCTGGCCCGCGATTTCCTGGATATTTTCAATCGCGCCGGATTTACGGACGAGGAAGTCTACCGCATCCTCGACCCCGACTCTGAGAGCGAGGACGATGGGCTGAGCGCTCTCACGCAAGAGATGCAAGACCTAGCTGTCACCCTTCCGACCCTCTGTGCCACCAAGCCGTCGAGAGACTCTCCCTGGCAATCGGTCGTACAGCGCATGGCCTACAGTATCGTTGAGGACGTCCTGCCGCCAACCACCCTGCCCTCTTGCAAATGCAAAGCATACTTGCTGACGCCGACTCGGCTGAGCTGCCTGGATCTGGCCCTGCTGACAGACTCCGTCGCGGCAATAGACTTCCTCTTCTCCGCGGGCCTTCACCCGACCACGGTGCTGCCCACCGGCTTCAACATCCTGGGTACCGCCATCCTGGCCGAGGCCACCCACATCGTAGCCTATATCTACGACGCCTTCGCTGTGCCTCCATTTTCCTGGGTCGGCAACGCACACACCACCTTCATCCCCGACCAACCGTCCCTCCACCCGCTCACTCTCGCCCTACGGATGCACAACATCCCCTTATTCCAACTCATCCTCAGCCACGAGGCGCCGGGCGAACCGATCCCCGCGGAGATTATGCTGTGGGCCGCCCAATACGGCGACGTAGAGATCGTGCGCGCGCTACACGAGCAAGCAGGCGTGGATTTCTTCGCCGACGACCAGCCCAATCGCATCGTGGGATGTCCTGGCCACAAAGTGCCGGGGGCAGTTGTCGAGTACAGAGGTGGAATGCCCATCGCGCGCATTCTGCTGCACTTCGCCGCGCGCAACACCGCCGCCGGTGCGCAAATGCTTCAGTGTTTGCTCGGCATGCTCCCGCCGGGAGACCTGCGCCTGCGCCGCCGCCTCCTCAACGCGCGGTCCTGGTACGGCACCACCCCGCTGATGGACGCCGTGCGCGCCGGCAACCACGCCGCCGTCCGCTACCTAGCAGACCCGCAAACCACGTCTCTCGATGTCGTCAACGCGCTCGGCATGTCGGCGCTGTATCTCGCGGTGCAGCGGCTAGACATCCAAGTCGTCGAGACCTTGTTCGAGGCCGGCTGCGCCAACGGGAACGAGCCCGATGATAAAGACGGAAGGCCGGTCAAGCCCCCCTTCTATGCCATTATTGACGCGCATCGCCGGCCCTGCATCGGACGATATAATCCCATGGAGTTGGAGGCGCATCTTGACAAGGTACTGGATGTGGCTAGGGTGTTGTTGTTGAACGGCACCGATCCCAGACTCAAGTGGGAGGAGAACGTGGAGGAAGGAGCGGAGGCCAAGACGGTGCTGGAGGAGGTGAAGACCGAGCCCGTGCTGGAGAAGTTGGCACGCCTGTTGTTGGAGGAGAAGGATTTCCCGCTGGGCGACATTTGAGCTACTGGCTTGGTCGCTTCGAGTAAGTTTAGACTCTGTTTGGAATAACATATGTTAATCATTATAATTCAAGTCTTCCTCTTGTTTTTACTTTTCTTTTTTGTTTTGTTTTTTTGTCTTTTTTTGTTTTCTTTTCTTTTTCCCTCCTCACTTTTGGAAGGATGATATATGTGCAAAATGTGTTAGTCTCGGTTTCCAGGGTTGTGTTTCGGAGCTTTGGTTGTTCCTGGTGTTGAAGATACTGTAAGGTAAGCGCAAGACTCGATTGACAACTTTTTACCTTCGAGAGCTAACTAATCGTGATCATGATATAAGCGAAAGCAATCGATGATGCAAGAACTCCATGAATGGGCAGAGACGGGCTGCAGCCATGATGTCTCCGCATTGTGAAAGCTCTGAAGGTGCCGAATCAGCCTCAATACACGTTTGCCAGGCTGTTCACCGGGCTTACACACTAGGCCTACTTCTTCATCATCTTGGCCGGGGGCCAGAAGATTCGTTATCAAGTCTCTTTAATACTCCCGGACTTCGAACAGAATACTGGCCTGCTTAGGCGGCCGCCTGTTCTTATGTCTGAACGTGACATCGGAATTGGAAAACCTCAATTTGATTATTCTGCGACAAAATCGCCTTTTGACAAATACTTGACGATCGCCGATTCACTCTCGACAGTGATCTCGCTCTATAGATCAGCTTTGTTCCACTCGACTGGATGGGAACTAGCAGCCAGTTGGGGCTCGCCCAACCAAGCTTCGCTGACGAAGGTTATATCAGGTTGCTGCGATGGTGAGGCATCACCTCTATTCGTATCCAACGAGAGCCCCGGTATCCTCTGCTGAAGATCCCCTGGAACTCATGCGATCTGAACGTGGAAAAGTGACAATGAGCGCTCGATAATGAGCCATACATTGGTTTGGCCATTGCTTTGATACTTAAGGGAGACCTCCGTATAATCAGGGTCTGGTCAACGTGTCCGGAATCTCTTGAGGCGATGTTCACGAATCGATGAGGATTCTCGCTATGATTGTTTATCTGAAGTGAATGTACCATGGTACAAACTCAATGTGTCAGTGACTGCAGGGAATGAGAATCACAGCAACGCACATATATAAGAGGCGACATGATCGAATACGAAAACAACCCAAACCCCCCATAGTTCTCGATCGATACATCCTTCAGAACATCCAACCCACCTTCATCAAACAAGACCAGCTCAAACACAAAACTATCAACCATGGACAACATCGACCGAGTCGAAAGCGCCCAATGGTGTGGCCAATGTAGTCATCTCAGGAGGCCTGCCAGCATGGCCATGGAGTTCAGGCAGCTACGTAAACAACGCATGCCAGCGCTTCCCGATCCGGAGGGCATCCAGATTCTCAACGGGGCGAACCTGATCCCCTGTCTGATGGCCCTGTGGAAACAAGCGGAGCTGGACCTGTCCCATCTAGAGCGTATGCTACGGCCGGACAACGACCGCGGCGTTGGGGCGCCAACCCTGCGGTCCATGATCCAACGACGCTTCTGCGCGGTACTGGCTGAAGGTTTCCAGAATTACCAGGTCTCCGCCGACGGGAGGCTGCTCCAATTCTGCTGCTACGCCGGGCACCAGCAGGCCCCCATAGGCCCTGGGTCGGGCCCCGCCGCTGCACCGCAGGTCGCCTTCCCCAACGTGGTGCACCACGCCCTCGCCCACGACTCGCTCGACGAGATCAAGCTGGCCGTCGCGTTGGGCCTGGAAGCCCACCGGCCCGTCTACTGGGGATATACCCTGCTGGGCGCGGCGATTCTGGCCCGAGCCCACAAGGTGATTCGGTACCTCTTTGAGCGGGACGATCGGTTTCCCGGGACGGCCAAGCCCCCCGCCGACCAGCGAGTCAACTGGATTGGGAGCGACTACTACGGGCCGCTCGAGCTGGCGCTCGTCTTGAAGGACAAGCAGCTCATCTGGCTGCTGCTGGAGCTCGTCGGAGGGGGCAACACGGACACCCTGGAGTGGCAGCACGTGGAAAACCTGTGCGTGGAGCACACGACCAGCGGCGTGATGCTCAAGTACCTGGTCGCTCAGATCGGAGTCGACCTGCTGGCGAGCAACGCCAACATCATCCACCAACCGGTGCAGCTCAAGCTGTCAGCGGAGCTGGCGGCGACCTGGGGCGACAACGCAGGCGAGTACCTGCTGCGGCGGGCGATCCGCCAAGACTGGGCGGTCTCCCGGGTGGTGATCGACCTGGTGCTGGGGCAGGCGCAAGCGTCCTGGACCCACACCCCGGCGACAGACGCGAACTATGCCAACCGGTGCTATCAGCTCCTCAACGACCCCATCGCCGGCCTCGACGACGACCGTCCGCGGAACGCGATCCCGCTGATCGCATGGGCCACCACGTTCGACCACCGCTACGCCTTCGACGCGCTGCTCAAGCAGCCCGGGTTCGACCTGAACCGCGCGTTCGTCGCGCAGCCTGACGGCGACCACATGTACACGCCCCTGACCTTCGCCGTGCGCATGGAAGCCAGCTGGGCCGTCGACAAGCTGCTGAACCGATCCGACTTGAACTTGCACCGCCACGGTCCCATGCCCTTTCGCTGGGCCAACGCCCTACCGAACACGCGCTACCCCAGCCCCTTTCGGGAGATTGTCGACCTCGTGGAGGACCGGGCCAGTCAATGGGTCCCCGGCACCAATCGCCAGGTTGGGCTGGACAACGCCATGATCGCCTTGGGCAGGCGCTTCCGCATCATGGCCACCCTGTTCATCGGCAGGTTCAACCCCCAGGTTCACGTTGGGTGGCGTACGGGGGAGACCTTTCCAGAATGGGTACTGAGGAACCAGTTCATAAGTATCTACCTTGATGGTGTGGTTCAACTCCTGCACCAGCACGGGTACATTGCGTGATTACCGCGTTGGACCTTGGACCCTTGGGGGAAGGGAGTAGATAATGGCTTAGCTGATAGTTATTTTTTAGATATCTCCATGTATCAGACTTAGTTCAATTTTTAACTTACAATAATGTACGTCATCAGAATATATCCGGAATCTCACCGCCTCCGGGCAGAATATCCTTTTTTTTACTCCAACAAGACCAGACGAATTCAAGCAATCGAAATGTATGTATGACTCGGTGTTGATTATACCCTTGTATATCGTATATCTAACTTGGAGCAAGAAGCCAACCTCGAGTAAACTCGCAGCAAGACAAAACATAAAAGCTCCCACAACGCCAGCGCTCGTGTATATGCTTTCGACCCATGAATACTTTTCAAACACGCAAATAGAGAAAGTGCACAAGAAGCATTATGCAAAGACAGAAAAATCATTTTTTCCGTCAAGTAGAAATCCATCTCATCTTCAGTCCTGGTTCTCCTCGACCGCCTTCTCCAGATCTTTGATTTTGTGCCGGCCAATCCGCAGCTTGCTGCGCATGTTCTTCTCCTTGATGAGCAGCGCGCGCTTGCGGCGGCGCGGGGGATAGTTGATGGGACTCTCGCCGCCAGTGAAGATGGCCAGATCGTAGACCATAGCCCCGAATAGCCCGCCGAAGATGTCGGCCACCCAGGGGCCCCAGACCCACCAGACGCTGTTCTCGGTGAAGACCTGGCCGCCCCAGCCGGCCATGAGGACGGTCAGGCGGGGGCCGAAATCGCGGGGCGCGTTGAAGCAGCTGCATTGCCGGCACAGGGTTAGCTTGCTTGCTTTACTATCTCACTGGTGGTGAGCGTGCAGAAATGATCGTTGGGGATGGACTTACCCGCCGGTGTTGTAGCCCAAAGCCAGCAGCAGCACCGTGATCACGATGCCGATGATGAACGCCTGCATACCGGCGCCGGGCGGGGCGTTGGCGTCGTCGCCCAGCGCCAGGATGATGCCGACCAGGATGGCGCTGCCAAGGAACTCGTCGAAGAAGGCGGTCGCCGGCGTCACGAACGACTTGGGCCCCGTCAGCATCGCCTCGCTGGCGGTCGTCTGCGCCTGCGGCAGCTGAGATTTGACGGAGAGGTCGACGATCGCGTCGTGGTAGATCGCGTAGGCGATGCCCCCGGCGGTGATGGCCCCGAGGATCTGGGCGAGTACATACAGCGTGCACTTCCGCGCCGGGAAGCCACGCCACACGGACAGCGAGATGGTGATCGCCGGGTTGAGATGGGCGCCCGAGACACCACCGGCCATGTAGATCCCGATCATGAACGCGAACCCCCACGCCGCGCATTGCGAGACGTAGGTCCCCGCCTGCTCTTGGGAGGTGTAGTGCGACAGGCCGGCGCAGAGGCCGAGGGTGATGGCTACACTTGTCTAAGGAGGTGAAAAGGTTAGCATCGCCAAGTTGATTCTCCGGGGGGAGGGCGAGGGGGCAAACGAATGAACTCACTCCTAGCCACTCTGCAAAAGGCTCTTTCGCATAGAAGCGGATTTTCGACCAGATGTTGAAGAACCCATCATGGTCCGGGTCTTCTTCTTCTTGCTGGGATTCTTGGGTCTGAGGGATCCCGGTCGGCGGTTCCTCGGCGGCCGGGGGAGGGCGTGCTCGTCCATCCTCCCTCTCTTCCTCTTTGCGATCCTCCGGCAAGGCTCCGTAGCGCATGCCATCGCGGACCACGTGAGGGAGTGGTTGGGCGAGACTCCAGACCGGCTTGCCGGGCTCGTCTTTGCCGTATTGAGGGTTGAGGTTGTGGTACTCCGGGTGAATGTAGGGTCCGTAAGAAGGCGGCGCGCCCCAGAAGGCAGTGGATCCTGCTAACGAAAACCCTCCCGGAGGCTGGCTCCCCTGGGTCCGAGACCGGGAGACATCGTCTTGCAGGTCGCCGGTACGTTGAGTTCGTGCGGTAGCCTGCCGTGAGGCCGGAGGTCGTTTGTTCGGGGGTCTTTTCCGGGGCTGCTGCGACTTTTCGTGGCTGTGAGAAGATTCGTCGTCCGAATCGGACGATTGAGATGATTGAGACGATTGGGATTGAAATTCCTCCGGATCCGTGTGAACTTCTACGGTGGCGTTAGCATTGTCGGGCGACTACAGTCCCAAGTGCATGCAGTAAGGGGACAGACCATCCACCTCTTTTTCGTGCGACTCGAGCGCGTTCGCCATGGAAGTTGATATTCGATTTAGAGCAACGAGAGCAAAACGACAAAGCAATTGGGAGGGCGATGTGAGATAGCAAGTGTACAATTAATTAAAGCCCGAAGACCTTAAAGGACGGAATTATCAAGCGCAACCACTGGCCTTGCTCTTCAAAGAGCGACGGGGTTCCAAAGCGGGTCTTATATACTCGGTCAATATTGCGTCACGGAACAAAACGTCAGGATATTCGACGGGGAACGGCCAATTAACGATCTGCATCCACACTGATAAGATTCATCAGCGCCACAACCTGGAAACCTCTTTTTGAACACCAGAGCAGTACACGAGAATGCGGTACAATCCAGAGAACTTAATCACAGACATACCCCGGCTTGTGTGGCGCACACATCGTAGGTAACTAACTCGAATGACAGAGTAGCTAAGTGGGCAGATTGCATGAATCATGGTGGCTGCTCTTCGTCATAACCAGCAAGCATCGGGCTGTTTTACCATCCAGTCGACTCGAGACGCAATGGTGGGTAAGCTGGCTGTAGGGCTCCAGTACCTGAAAATGCTTGTCGGGTGAGGGATCTACGGCGATGAAGAGCATCCATTTAGCAGTACAAGTACAGTGGAAGTGGTCGGAATTCGAAAAATCCCGTGCTGATTGGCGGGTTCTCGAAATCAAGGCAAGTCCACGCCGTCGTGGACTGGTATGCCGGGCACTGACCCTGGGATGGTTGGCGGAAGCCCATCCGTTGCGCGCGCGTACACATTGGACAGGTCCGTGAGGATCGGCCAGTTAGTCAGTCTCAGCGGTCGACGGGAGCAAAGATGGGACCCACCGGTGACATCGCCGGCCCAGACAGTCCCGAACTTACTCTGTAGTACTGTACTCAGTAGCTGGCAATCAAACCAGCTGCGGTGCGAATCAGTCCAGCTTTGGGGCGGAACAAAAAGCTTTATCTGGTGCTTTCGACAGGGTTTCCATGTCATAGCGGACGGACATCCCAGCCAAGTGGGATTGCGAATCGTAGGGCCTCCGGAATGCACTCCGACTGGAGGCACCTCTACCGGGGAAGGAGACTTTCCTAGCAAGGATGGCATTGGAAGATTTGTACTCAGGTGGGAACTCTGCTGTCACATATCCTGCGATGGAAACACTTGGTTCAGTCTCCGAGATAAAGATAAGATTTGTAGCCTCGTGGTGGGCAGTTTGCCAGACGAAGTTCCAAAGTCAAGACTTAGCTGAAGGTCGACGGGATGCCCGCGATGGTCGAGACTCCCAATCGACTTGGCGGGAAGCCGAAAAGGGAAAGTAAAACGGCCACCATGACATCATCAGTCCGGTCGCATCGACTTGTTTCCAGATTGGGACACCGGCGGCCTGATCTGTCAGGCTGCCTTGAAGTCCCCGATCGATCGCTTTCTCTCCAATTCGTGTGCATGCTAGTCCGTAACTTATGTTAGATCAGTTCCCATCAGGCCACCTCAGGTGCATCTTCTCCTTGCTGTCTCGGAATTCTGTAGAGCGACTGCTCTCTGAGAATAGGAAGTATACTTACCGCTTTGGTGCAGATGCAGGCCTTGCTATCGCGACAGGTGGGCCCGAGCTTCAGCACGAGAAAGGATCTGGCAAGGCACCGGATATCCCACCGTGCATGGAGGCTACTTGCTCAACCACCACCAGTCTGAAGGCTTGAGTCTTGCAGCCTCACCAGCGATTCATCCCAGCAACGATCGTAATGTCGTACCCTCACAAATCTCGCTGTTGGCTGCGTACATGTCGATAAATAGTAGTTGAGGCAGTTCGGAGAATGTGAGGGAAAGATACCCCACTCAAGCAGTAGCTTTCCAATCGGCATTCGATGACACGTCCCCTTGACCATGAGTGCATTCTCTGAGCAATGGTAAGCAAGAGTTTAGGAGACGATCAAGCGGCAGTCCAGCCCAGCGATACGGTCATAAGCGGAATAGACCAACTCAGTAGTCTGGATATGGGGTACATATGAGCTTTCGGATCAACAATGCTACGAGGCGGTGGAAAGAAGGGGAGGCTATACCCTCGCTGTCCCCAGACGATCGGTTATGCATGTGGATAGAAAAGTCGGGCCATAGGTGAAGGATTCATGAAGAGTGACAGTGGCCACAATTCGGTTGGCTACCACCATCATAAATGAGCTTCACGCCCAAGGGGGAGGCGCGGCCGCCAACTCTTCCTCTCGATTACCCTGCGGATGAATCGGGATGCACTGTGGTACTAGCGGTTGTGTGTATACTCAGCGTCCGATCACTCGCAGTCCCTCGGCTCAGCATGTACATCGTGGGCTTCCCAAGCATCATGGTCACCATGAGCTCGGCAATCGTGATGAGCGCCGCCTCTAGTCGAAGCTGTTTGTCATTACTGATCAAACATTTCGGGCAAATCCGAGATTTGCATAATAAAATGAGTGCTGGAACCATGTGGGCGATAGTATGCTTCGTCTCGGGTTGTCTCACGTTTCGAGCAAATATGCGCCGGTAAAGCTTGGAGGGAAGAGCTCAACCTCTCGGCGAGGCTAATGGGGAGACATGGTGTTGGCTTCCCACGAGCGCGAAAGGATGGATAATCATGCCGGGACGGAAAGATCCTGGATTCCCTTCGTATGTCGTGGCGAAGTTGCGGTAGTCATTGTGTCTGTCTTGCTATGATCTAAGTGCCATATAAGCCCCGGTACTGTCTTCTCCGTCCGTCACCAGCGACTCGAATGACTTGATCCAGATCGTGTAGTCCTCAGTCTGGTCCCTGAGTCAAGGCCACTGGGAAAGCCACGAATCCTTTGCGGTCAAGTGAGCAAGACAGCATCTTCACATTCGATACACACCACTGTTGCGTGGGTAGTCAGCCCTGTTGCCACGAGGAAAGACGATCGCGCGATAATTCGCGCTAACTTGGTCAAAGAGAGGGATCAATCTGTGCTTTGTCACGGCAACTGAGGTTCTTGACGCATTTCCAATCGCTTGGGTGACTGCACTGGGCAAATGTAAAGTGAAGTTGTCGATCGTGAGTCTGTCATGGTACAGCCATCAGTTAGTCTATTTGTTGGGACTAGTGGAAGCACAGGCAGCAGAGGGACTCGAAGATATATCTCGTGACACACCACATTAGAGTAACAAACTCGACCTTCCCTAAGAGTCCCACCACTCCGTGAAGAGCTCCAGTGATGTGCATTCAAGCTCAAAGCTGGCTAAAAGATGATCAATGTGTGGTTATGAGTTTAGCTCATGGTGTTCGGCACTCAGTGGCAGGGTGCCTGGCCGATGTCCTCATTAGGCCTAGTGACCACCACGGCCCCACCCTTAGAGTCGTATCCTAAAGAGGCTTAGTGTGATTTATAGTCCTGCGTACCTAGTACTGTCCTCAGCTTGCATATTCCAATCTTTTTGATTCACCTAGGATCTCTTCTGCTGATGCTTACAGACTCTTTGTTGCTAATAGACATCTCAATACTGTACATCTTATTCTTTGATTGTGGCAGATCGAACAACAACTTTCCATATGATAAGGAGATATCGGAAGGAGACGATATCTCGGCGTCATCCGCGAGACGTGCTGCCCATACCTTCCTCGCATCGCAATAATCCAAGCTTTGACTACTGCAGAGAGAGATCCAACGTGCGCTCACAGCTGTCATGGTTGGATTCACTCCCATACCCGCGTTCCTGTGGCGGCAGGTGATAAGTTCAACCTGACCGCGTATGCGTCGGTTATGGCTATTGCATGGTTGATTAGACTGAACCTCAGGAATTCTTTCCATGGTTGTCCCTGCGCAAGAGAAGGAGAACCACTGCATCAGACGCCTCAGGGAGGCGGCTCTCAGACGATATTAAGTATCTGACTCATGTTATACGTCGTTGATCGCATAGTGTGAATCCTAAATTCTTTACAATGAGACTGACCAAACCTCGGAGCCGCAGATTACACCCTTCGAGAATCCCCCTTCCACTCACCATGCAATACGCCTAGTGGAATAGAGACTGGAAATACGTCTGATCATACTCCAAACAAGCTACATACGTACACACAACTCCTTTTCTAGCGGAGTACAGCCGATATCAGGAACTTTCGTTCGCCGATTGGAGCCGGGCTTCCGGTCGCGCGTACGAAGATGATACCAAGTGGGAACAGCAGGCAGGAATGAACTGAGGCTGTGCGCCATATCCGCTCATACTATTCAACTCGGACCTAAGAAAGCGGAAGCCCACGGTGGTCTCGGGACATCAAGAGTGCACGTGGCGACAACATGGCAGGCACGATCTGTGACGCGTTATGGTCGTACTGGAGGCCCTTTCAGCTAGTATGGACCCGGGAGACGTTGCAGTAGTTCGATACTATTTTTGCTTCAAAATGTCCAACATGAGATTAGTGAAGCCAGGGCCGAGCTACTATAGCTCTTCCCTCGGAAGGGGCCTGCTGTCGTCAAGCTTTGTACGAACAGCAAACCGCAGCCTTGGCAATTGAGATTGACCCTCATGAAGCACATGTTGATCGGTAAAGAACTGGAGTACCGGGCCTGAGCCGCATCAGCTGCTAGCTCCGCTGTTGAGAGTCTTGTGGCTTTCAATTCATAAGCCGCAATAGCTGATGGCGTACTTCACAGCGAACTGCTCATGATACAGTGGAGATCATGACGTGCGGCAATAAGATGGTATGCGCCTTTCCTGTCCTCCTGACGTCGGAATGCTGAGAAGCACTGTCATCTCCAGGCAACGGGCCTGATCTTGCAGATCTCACGCGTGAGCCTGCCACCTACTATACTGCGTCAACATGGAACTTGGATAAGTACGTGACTTACCTATCACTCGTCTTTGCGGCCAATACTTGCCAGAGTTGTGTGGGGACTAGACGAGAAACCTGTGACGCTCTATTATAGGGCCGCCCGGATAAGTTTTCCAGCGCCCGCTATGCCAAAATTATCGTTAAGGGATCAGCGGGGAAATCATTATGAAGCCTACACAGTCCTGCTCTGGAAATCATCGATCATGTCGGAGAGGCTTCTTCTATGATATCACTTCGAAGCCGAGGCTCAAGACACATAGCAAGATAAGAATCCGACACAGCACCACCGATCTGATGTTTGAATGTGACGAAGACGAGCTGTCATCTGAATCCTAGGGGGGCGACGAAGCCTCCGTGTTGTTGGGCAGGTAGGATGTCATTCATCACAATGTTTTTGTGGTTGTGGTGATGAAGAAGGGCTAGCCGTGGGCCTGGATGGTCGTCCGACGTCATTTGTTTTGGCGATACGTCACACCCGCCGCCGCGGTGACTCGCCGGCTACTGCTACGCGGTACTCCATACTACTCGGTTACTACTCACTAACTACTCAGTATGTGTCAACTGCTAGTGAGTGGACTGGATCGATCTAAACCTCATGATCGACGGGTTCTTTTCTTGTTCCAGATCTTCCGGAAATGTTACTTCCCGGTGGTCCTGACCAATGCACGCCGCCGCATTCCTCGACAGGGGAGCGGAAGAGCCCACTACACAAATGGCAGCCGTTTGAGATCCCGGGCCCAAAGCCCACTCTGGATCGAAGGTGGTGCTGAAGCATGAAAACTCAAAAAGGCTGCCTCTGGATTACGATGTCCTACCTAGGAAGATTTGAGTGAAATGCTTCAAATGGATCGGAGGATCCATGATCCCCAGTGATTCATTCCAAAGGCGAAATGAGCCTGGACCCGGGCTGCATCTCAGGCTCAGAGGCGAAAGTGCCGCTTACGGGCAGATGCGCACTTGGCGGACTTGACGGACTCGTGACCGGACTAGGCCTGTTTGGGAGATTTCTTCGGAGTGCAATCGACCGCCTTCGATTTCGACTAGTTAATCATCGTCCGTCTCCTGACTCGATTTGTTCGGATCTTTCCGGGAATGCGACTAGCCCTCAATTGTACCCTGCGCATTTCTCCATGAATCGATTAGTGACTGTCTGTCTGTCTGTCTGTCTGTCTGTAGACAGTCAGTCAGAGACAGTCAGCGTACCCGGAAATCTCACCGTATTTCGCTCTCCTTGGTTTCTGGTTTCCTCCTCATGTCAACCTTCTCTGGGGGGGAAGGGGGGGAGGGGCGTGGAGGGGCGTGGAGGGGCGTGGTGGTTACGACCCTATTTATCGTATCGGGCTGCCTTGCGTTTCGGGCCAGGCGAAGTCTGATGGATCATTTTTTCTCTCCATGCGGGCCCGATGATGTCACTGGCGAGGGGCGGTTCTTCATGCTGCCTTGATTGTCCACCCAGAAGGTCTGCCCCGTGCGGGTCTCGTTCCCTTCGCGACTCCCCCCCCAATTTGGGTATTTCGGTGGCTGTCATGACGGCATGCCCGCGCCCTCCATTCAGGGTTCCATGCTCCTTGAAATATATAGGGTCACGCCCGGCGGCAGTACCTTGATGCAGCCTTTAGATGCTTCCCCGCACAACCAGATCCTGTGGGGGACGAGCCAATTGTACAACAGCAATGCAGCGATCTCCACGACTTCTCACCACCACTAACCTCCTGTTCAACATTGTTTGCTAAGAATCAATATTCCGCCCCTGGACGGTGATCCCCATCGTCGGTTTTGACCCGTGACCCTACCTAATCGTCCCGACCGCTACGGCGAACGTCTCGCCACTCTCAATTTTAAACCTCCCTTCCAAGTCCAGGACCGCCCCCCCCCCTTTACGCACAATGGGCGACCGCAAAAATGCCGCCAAGGCCTCTGGAGATGAAGACGGGGCGGGTGCAGAGGAACCTGGACGTCCGATAAGATTGACGTACAATGTCGAAGGGGCCCGCGAACGTGAAATGCACATGTAAGTCTCGAGCCCGTTCTGACGGTCGCAAATCTCCTCTCCTTCACCTCGCGACTGACGCGTGTCCTCTGCGGTACAGGTTTTATCCCTACTGGGGAATCCCCCCGGTAAAGAAACGATCCGCCAATGCGTCTCGTGATAATGTCCTCACCGTGTTCGCGCAGCTGGCGACTCTCCGGCTGAACGCCAAGCGTGCCTTGATCTCCCTCTTCGATCGAACCACCCAATACGTAGTAGCGGAAGCGACACCGCGCTACGACCTCCGCCGGCATCACAATCACCAACAGGACTCGAACGCCAAGGCGAAATCTGGAACTTTGTGGCTTGGTGTGTGCCAAATGTCTCGGGAACACATGAGGATGTGCGACCACGCGATGAAAACCTTTGTGGACGATCCTGAGGCCATGTTCATGGTGCGCGACTTGTCCAAGGATTCCCGCTTTCATGACCACCCTTCCGTGGTCGGACATCCGAATAACCGGTTCTACGTCTCGGTACCGATCGTATCCCCTGGGAAGCATGTGATCGGGAATCTGGCGGTCATCGATGACAAACCGCGGGATGGACTGGTCGAAGAGGAGATCGTCTGCATACGAGACTTGGCCTTGACCGTGATCGACCACCTGCAATCCCAGCGAGCGATGCGTGAAGAATATCGCGAAGAGAAGATGGTCAAGGCCCTAGCCTTGTTCGTCAATGGCAAGTCGGACCTTGGGGAATGGAGCCAGAATCAAGATGGACGGCCAACGAAGAAGACGGGTGGTGCGTTGGTGGACATGTCAGAGGTCAAGAATCGCCTCGACGACCTCAAAGTTACCGACTCGGAGGATGACTCTGTTCAAAACAATGAGTCGGAGAAGAAACGGCAGAGTGAGACAGATCCACCGTCTGACGAGCAAGATCGGCAGCAGGATGAGCCGGAAGAACAACAGGATAATACGGATCAAGTTCAAGGTCTATCGGAAAAGCAAGATCAAGCGGAGCAGCAAGATCAATCAGAATTACAGCAAAACGGGGTAAACTCGGAGTCCTTTGATGATCAAGATGACACCCCTATGTCTCCCAAGGGTACGAGGAGCCCATCGCCAGACGTCAGCCCATCGCCAGACAGCTGTGGCAATTCAGAGAAGAGTCCTACATTGAACGGCGGTACCACAGACAAGCGTCGCTCTTCGAAAAGGAACTCTGGATCTCCAGGAGAGCAGGGGTATCCTTCTCAATCCGCCCCAGGCAGCGGGGATAATTCCAAGCCTTTTGAAGATAACAACAACACTCACAAAGCCCCCAAGGAGAAAGGCTATACCTTCCAACCATCCGGTAGCGACCGCCAAGATGACGACACTACCCCTTCGCACAATGCAAAGCGGGGGCATAGCCCGGATTCAACTGTACATAAGTTTGGAAAGGTGGGGGACAAGCCGACCAAGAGCCCGGTAGGCTCACATGCGCAGGGGCGACCAACTCGTCCGAAGCTCTCCCCTACGACAAGTCGTCTACAAGAATCGCTGGTTCCCTCCAATGTGAGGACAATTCTCAGCCGTGCTTCAAACCTGATTCATCAGGCCCTTGATGTCGAGGGAACCATGTTTCTCGATGCATCAGTCTATGCGAGACGACAGTTGATGGGTTCAACTAGTGACTTGCACGAAGATCGCAATCCTAGCCCCCGGAAGAGTTCGGGCGACAGCCAATCGACCCACGGGAAGAAACCGGCCAAGGATCAGAACCTCGGATCCGCCACCCTGGTGCTCGGTCACTCGACGAACGCTGGTCTAACGCAGGACCACGAGCCGAGCGATCGACACTACGTCTCACTTTCGAGCGAACTGGTGAGTCGCATCATCGACCGCTATTCGCGCGGAAAGATCTTCCACATCGATGCGGACGGTACAATCACAATGAGCTATGAGGGTACTGCGCTCAGCTCGGAACTGGAAACCCATGTTCGCGGAGAGGGCGCCGGCCTGGAAGGGAAGCAACCCCACGATACAATGATCCAGGAAGAAAACCGGGATATCAGAGACCTCATCAAGGTCATGCCGGGTGCCCGGTGCATCGCGATTTTCCCTCTGTGGGATTTCCAGCGCAATCGATGGTTCGCTGTCAATGTGGTGTGGACGAGAGATCCGGGCCGAGTGTTGTCGGAGCCAAAGGACTTGACCTACATGGCGGCCTTCAGCAACAGCGTGATGGCGGAGATCTCGCGGCTAAATCTGCAGGCGGCCGACCGCGCGAAGGCCGACTTCATCTCGTCCATCTCGCACGAGTTACGCTCTCCGCTGCACGGCATCTTAGGCACACTGGAACTGCTTAATGATACGGCGACCAGTGTCACACAACGACCTTTGTTAGAGACAGTCTCCAGCTGCGGCAAAACCTTGCTTGACACCCTGAACAACCTGCTGGATTACGGCAAGATGAATGCGCTAAACGACCCCCAGGGATCCCAGAAGCAAAATGAGTCAAAGAATGAGGAAGAACGCCGTACCAGCAAATCCCAGGGACCGCCCGAGCAGGAAGAGGACCTGAGCCTTATTGTGCAGGAAGTAGTCGAAGGTTTGGTGGCGGGCCAGGACTTCTTCTGGAGAACCACCGAGACCAAGCCCGAGAAAGAGAGGAAAGCGAAGGAGAAGAAGCCTAAAGGCAATCTCAAGGATGTTATCACTATTGTCGACATCAAGTGGCAAGAGAGCTGGCTTTGCATGGTCAACCCGGGCGCCTGGCGCCGAGTTATCATGAATCTCTTTGGCAACGCCTTGAAGTATACCGAAAAAGGCTGTATCCGACTGCGCATGGAGAACAGCAGCATGCTCCTCGAAAACGAGAAAGTCCCTGCTGTCCGGATCGTCATCACGGATTCGGGTCGCGGGATGTCCGAGGATTACATTCTGCATCACCTGTACACGGCATTCGTCCAAGAAGACACCATGTCCCCTGGACTAGGCGTGGGTGTGCACATTGTGAATCAGATCGTCAAATCCATGTCCGGTCAAATTGAGTTCAACAGTGAGCTTGGTGTTGGAACCGAAGTCAGTCTGCTGATTCCGATAACCATGATCACAGACAAACCGGCGACATCGTTGGCTTCGTCGAGGTACGAAACCCTCAAGAAGAGGTTGCACGGCCGCACTGTTGCACTGTTCACGAATACTTTCCGAGCCAACGACCTAAAGGTGAAACCGGAGTTTGTGGACAACATCGTGACCAACCTTCGTAAAATGATCAGCGACTGGTTTGGCTTGCGGGTGTTGACGGCGGACGAGCTGGAAGGACAACTGGCCGATATCAACATTATCACCCAGGATGAGTACAGTCGGAATTACAACCCGGAGGCCACCGGACCTGGCGGCCTTTCCCCATCAGTCTCAGTCAGTGTGGGGTTCCCATTGATCGTGCTGAGCGCGAACGCTACCAAGGCGGCTGATCTCCGGAGCGACCGGGACGACGTTGTCTTTTTCTACCAACCGTAAGTGACTTATGATCCATGCCTTATCCTGTCAAGTGCTGACAGGTGGTTAGTGTGAGCCCCAAGAGTCTGGCCACCGCGTTCGAGACGTGCCTTGACATCAAGGAACGTTCTGGAGACAACACTCCTGCACGAATGCAGTCAACGCCATCTCCTCCTCCTGACGCTCAGATCCAGCTGCCAGAGCCTGCAATGAATGGCTCCAGGCCCCAGTCTGCCGAGACCCAAGACCCAGTCAACAAGAAAATGGCGTCTCCGCGAGACAGTCCGATGGTGGATGATGTGAATGGTGTGGACGATCAAGCGACCGAGCGACGGCAGCCAATGTCCGGATCCGGATCCCGCAGGGTCCTTCTCGTCGAGGACAACGCTATCAATCTCCAGGTACGGTGCTTCCGCTTCTGTTCTATATACAAGCGACTAATCTGGTCCGACAGCTTCTTGAAATGGCCGTCAAGAAGTCCAAATTCCAATACCATTCGGTGTCCAACGGGCTCGAAGCGTCTGAGGCCTTTCGACGCTTGGCATTTGATGCCGTGGTGATGGGTACGACTCGTCTCCTCCCCATGTTGAGAGGTGCATCCCACTAACAAGTAGCAGACATCTCAATGCCGGTCATGAATGGGCTGGAGGCCACCCGCAAGATCCGGCAGTGGGAGCGAGCTCACCATTTGGAGCCCACGGTCATCATCATCCTCACGGCGGGGGTGTCGCCGGATATCCAGCAAGAGGCGCGAGCCAGCGGAGTGAATCTGTTCCTGATGAAACCGATCTCGATCGCCAAGTTGCAGGGGGTTCTGCGCGACATGCCCGACGCGAAGAAGGGGGCCCTCTTTTAAGCGGGTCTAGGTGTTTCTGGACTGGAGTCGGGGGGCAGCGTGGGGCGTTATTGGTCTTTGTGTGGTTGATACGCATGGCATGCATGGGAAATGACTCACCATACTACGAGTATACGATTTTTTGATGTATCAGCGACGAAGATAGGATAGACGAGACGATACCTACGGGATTTTAGTTCTCTAGCATTGACTTGTGAATATGCAGACGGACGGAATATAATGATTATTGGCCTACATGCAAGATTGCCCGCTCCACAAACACAAACAACAAACCCAGCCGAGTGAAGGCCAACTTTCACGCGCGATACTCAATCTTCAACACCCAGCAATAATGCTCCCCCTCCCACGCCTCCAGCGGCACATCGAACCTGAACCCGCCCTCGACCTTCTCCCACTGCACCTCCCAATCCCCCGCCGTGTCATCACCCGTCAAAACCACCACCCGATCCCCGCCCAACAAAGGCAACGGCGCCTCGACCACCACCTTCCCCTCCCTCAAAACCGGCTCCTCCACCCACAGCACATAAAACGCGTCCTCCGCCTGCGTGAACCTCACGGCCCCGGCATTCCCCTCCGCCATGACAAACCAATACCTCGTGGCAAACACCGCCTCCGCATGCGTGGCAATCCACCGCCCGGCCTCCCTGAGATTCCGCTCCTCGGCCTCAACAATCGTCCCGTCCGCCCTGGGGCCGACATCCAACAAGAAGTTCCCATTCTTACTCACGATATCGACGAGGTCGCGCACGATGGTCGACGCATTCATGTACCCGTCCGGCGGGGTGGCGCGGTTATACCCGTAGCTGTAGGGGTCCATGCCCATGTTGGACTCCCACTTGCGGCGCTGGGCGGAGCTGAAGGTCGCGTACTCCGGGGTGTCGAAGTCGGCGGCCTGCGGAATGCCGCACCGGGAGTTAATGGCGACCTGCTTGGCCTGGTTGAAGAAGCCGGCGGCGAAGACGGGGGTCGCGTTGGCGGCGCCGCAGTCGCACCACATGATGTCCGTGCCGTAGGTGTGGGCCAGGGTCTGCATCTGCGGGAGGAGGAGGGAGTCGATGAAGTTGCCTTCCTGGACTTTTGGTAACAAGGTGTCGGTGGTGGTGGTGGCGACGTTGGGCAACGGGATCCGTCCCGTGTAGGGCTCGACCTCCCCCGTGAAGGGGTTCACGGCCGGGAGGCCGGGCCAGCTCGTCGAGCTGTTCCCGGGCAGCTGGGCGAAGCCGTACGGCGCAAAGTCCGGATTGAACCACTCGGGTAGGGAGAAGTAGGTGCCGCGTTTGAGGTGCGGCTGGTGGGTGGCGGCGGCTGTGAAGAGCTCGCCGACCAGATCGCGGTGCGGGCCGTAGTGCAGGCTGTTGCGGTGCGTGGTGTTGCCGGTGTCGAAGAGGGCGAAGCCGTCGTGGTGCTTGGTCGTCAGCACGAAGTATCTCGCCCCGGAGGCGGCGATCAGGTCGACCCAGGCTTTGGGGGAGAAATTGGTGGCGGTGAAGTTGGCGAAGGAGTCGTCGTAGTTCCAGTCGCGGCCGAAGGTGCGCAGCCGGTAGGCTTGCGTGGAGGATTTGTCGGCGGCTGGGTGCGTCGTGTACCACCTTTTGTTTCTTTAGTGGGTGCTGGAGTGGTTCTTTGGGGAAGGGGGATAGGGGTGGTGAAGGGGGTAAGGGGGTTAGAGGGTAAGATAGGGTAGGCGATGGGCAACGTACCAGAACCATTCGGCGTAACTCTCCCACGGAGTCGAGTTGCCCCAGCCCGGCACCGCGTACGGGCCCCAATGGATGAAGACCCCGAACTTGGCGTCGTCGAACCACTCGGGACTCTCGTGGCGGGCCAGGCTGGACAGGTCGGAGGTGTAGTTGGTTAATCCGAGGGAGAGATCGACGATCTTGGTGGTCAGGATATCACCCTCGTAAGTGATCCGGATGGTGGCCGTGCCGTTGGCGGTGCCGTGGACGCCCACGTTGACTCGTTTCTGATCACCGGGGCAGAGTCGCTTGATATGCCCGGGCTCAGCAATCGTAGTGCCTGGCATCTCAAGCGTGGCTGTCAGTCCTGCGCCCGAGATGCATTCATTGCCCGGATTGTTGACCGTCAGCTCGACAATCTGACTGCCCTGCTCCGTCCATTTCTGGGTGGGCCGCACGAACTGCACCTGCGCAGCCGCCGTCGAGGTCACTGGCCACAAGGACATTGCAAAAACGTGCAGTCGGCCCGTGGTGGCATTGGTCGTCAGGGGCAGGGTGACAGACTGCAGGCTCTTGAGCGGGTCCAGCGCGGCGGTGTACTCGAAGATGTGTGAGGTGTTGAAATTGGTGTCGTTGGGTGTGTATCGATAGGGGAAGATGATCTCGCCGCGATTGATCGTCAAGAAGGCCCACCAGGGGAGACTACGCAGCTCTGACACCACAGTGGTGTTGTCGCTGTAGGTGTAGATCACGTCCCCGGAGACGGTTTCGAGCTCCACATCCGCCGAGACGAGCATCGAGGCAGACAGATACCGACCTTGGGGAACTGCGATAGACTGGCCGGCGCAGATGACATTGTCGGGCAGACCAGCCTGGCGATATCCGGGGAAAGAGTAGGTGATGCCTGTCTGCGATGAGGTGTAGCTCCCGTTGATCCCTAGTTCGCTGGGGTCGGGATAGGACTCGTTCGCTGCATTGAAGGTAGCCTCCCCTGGGAACTGACCGAACGCCTTGTTGTTGAAGTATGGCTTGAGTGAGACGGAGGTAGACTGGGTTTGTTAGAATGCAGAGCGTCAAAGACTGTCAGTGGAACATACGGAGTGATTGGTATGGACAGCAGCAGAAGCGACTGACCCTGCGAGGGCCACCCAAAACAATGCTTCGTTCTTCATCGCGGTGATGCGGTGGAAGAAATGCACGCCGGAAGGGTTCAATTTGAACAACTGAGCCGACCTCATGCGATATTGTTCCCCTCACCAATAATGCCACAGTGACATCGTCACTGGAGACACGGGAACTGCCAGACCGCGCATGCGCAACGGTTATTGGAGGCGACAGGCGAGCTGCAGGGGACTAAATGATGCTAAGATGGCTAGGGGCGGGGAGGGCGTCGATAAGAAGAGGAGGTGCAATTTAGGGCTTCGTTCCCCTCCCCGATAAGCCCGTGGGCCATGATAGTGCCTCGCACGACTGCATGTTACATCGGCCGAGACGTGGGGCTACTAATTAACGTTGAATAGATAAGAAGACGCAGGCGCCATTGGACTTGTCAGAGACTCTTCACTATCATACCCAACCCACCATGTGGTCGAGTCGGAACATTCTTGCAGCGCTGGCCTTGGTGCCATTGAGCGCTGCCTTCAACAACCCCCCCGGGGTGGACATCTGGTGTGGCAAGGCCTATCGCGCAAGGTGAATCGCCTCCATCAGTTTCTGTCTCCACCTACTGACCTTGTACTGCAGCAACGCCTCATTCAATCCGGGAGGATGGTTCGAAGAGCCTTCATACTCCGCGACGCCTCTGCTCAACCTCAAGGTCCGACCCCGGATGAGCATCTATCTCTCCAACGACCCCAGCGGCAGTCTCCTGGTTGACACAAGCGTATCGCATCGCATCGGCGACCCCTTGCCCCTGACAGCAACAGCAAGCAGCAACCACAGCGCGCAGGCCTTGCACCTGCGCATTGAGATCGGCGACACCAACGGGACAGCACTCACGTCCATCACCAACTACACCCTCCCACTGGACACGCGCAATAACGAGATCCCCATCCCAATGCAGGACCTTCCCGCCCGACTCCAACCCTACACCGTGACCGTCCACGCCACTCTGCCCTCGTCCAACGCAACAAGCAAGAACCCGACTACCTTCACCAAAAGCACCTCACTGTACCGCCTCCCCCGACGCACCGACGGGGGCAGCGCCACGCGCATCGACAACCTGTACGGGGGGTTAGCCTACCAAACCAGCACGGAAGAGAGCTGGACCTCGATCTTCCCCTACACCTACTACGGTACAGTCCAGCTCCCACTGCAGCTAACCCCAAGCCCCCAAGCCCCCAAGCCCCCACCACCAACTAACAACTCCCACCAGCCCAATGGACTCTCTACTGGGACACGAGCCCCACAACCCTAACAACCTTCACCTCGCAAAACTACAACGTAATCCACATCGTGCCAACGGGGGCCCTCTCCACAACCTCAACCGCCTACCCGTGGACCACCCTGAACCCCTACCTCGCCCTCGCCGACCACACGCACCTGAAATTCCAATACGACCTCCTCTTCGACCCCACCAACACCAGCACCATGCTCACGCAAGCCCAAGCCCTGCAGACACACCCCTCCCTCCTCCTCTGGTACCTGGCCGACGAACCCGACGGCAAGGCCACCCCGCCCACCACCCTCACCGCCGCCTCCACCACCCTCAAGACCCTGGACCCCTACCACCCGATCTCCCTCGCCCTCAACTGCGCCAACTTCTATTACGAAGAATACGCCTCCGCCGCCGACATAATCCTGTCGGACGTGTACCCCGTCGCGACGAACACGAGCTGGAGCAGCGTGTACGACACCCCGTGCAACGCGACCTACGGCTGCTGCGGGTGCGACGACTGTTCCGGAAAATTCGAGGACATCGCGATCCGGCTGGACACCTTCCGGGGCTTCGACGAGCTCGTCGGCTGGGAGAAGGTGCATTGGGCGGCGCCGCAGGCGTTTGGGAACGAGACGTTCTGGACGCGCTACCCGTCCGCGCGGGAGGAGGTGGTCATGAATCTGCTGGGTGTCAATCACGGGGCGATGGGGGTCGTGATGTGGGATTTCCCGACCTCCGCGGAAATCAATGCCGTCACTGGGGAATTGGCGGGGGTGGTGACGAGCGCGGAGATCACGGGGTTTTTGGTGGGGACGGAGCGGAGGAGGGTTGAGGTCGGTGGGGAGGGAAGGGCGAGGGTGGATGTGGCGGGGTGGGTGGATTGGAGGGCCAAGAGGGCTTTGGTTAGTGTCGTTAATCTGAAGTATGAGGATACTATCGCGGAAGTGGTGGTTGGGGGTGCGGGGGATTGGGAGGTTAAAGCGGTCGAGAAGGTGGTTTGGGGAGAGGTGCAGTGGAGGGTCGAGGGGGGCAAGTTGGTCGTCGATGGGTTGGTGGGGTTGGAGGTTTCGTTGGTGATTGTGGAGCTGGTCTGAGGCTGTAATGGCGTTAAAAGGTATAGTGACTATACATTCTTGAATGGTGACTGTTGATCAGAGAATTGACAATATTAAGACTAGGACTGAGTCGAACTGCCTTAGCACTAAACATATACAAAAGTCATGGCCGTGTCATCAAGAGCATCATCTTTCGAGTCGCCCTGATACGTGTGTATATATATGAGAAAAGACTACCCGAATCATGTCCCTCAGGCTAGAGCACCTTCACCCGCACCCCCTGCGTGTCAGGCCGCACGTGCGGCAGGAACATGTCGCGGTAGAGTTCCACCGACTCGCGCCCCGTCTCATACAGCTCAAACTCGAACCGGCGGTAGATGTTCGCCAGCGCAATGTACATCTCCGCGTACGCGAGATTGATGCCCAGGCACGACCGAGTGCCGCGACCAAAGGCCACCATGTAGCGTGACAATTTGCGGCCGTCGGGCGCCACGGGGTCCCCGAGCCACCGCTCCGGCTTGTAGGTGAAGGAGTCGGGGAAGATCGCCTCGTCGTGGTGCACGGAGTAGATGTCCATGCTGATGGCAGTATTCTTGGGGATCACCCACGACTTGTAGCTGAGCGTGAATTTGTCCGAGATGCGTGGACCGCGTTGTACAACACCGTAAGACAAACGGATGCCTGGATTTGTGAGCGAGGATACAGAGAAAGGCTGCACAGTGGCAAGTGGCAAGTGGGGGCACATACCCTCCTGGATACATCCCGTCAGGTACGGGAGTTTCTCCAGCTCCTGCAGAGGCGGCATGTTCGTGGGATCGGGGATCGCAGCCTTCAGCTCCTCGCGAAGGCGGTGATAGACTGAAGGCGTGCTCAGAATGTGGTAGCTGGCGACGGTCATCGCGAATCGGGTGGTGTCGAACCCGGCTCCAATGACAGTGAAAGCCTCATGATGCAGTCGCCGCAGGGTCTTGTCTTCGGGCGGCAGGTCCGAGTCCAGCAACGCGGCAAACACCGTGTTCCGATCGGCTTCCCGCGTTTTGCCCTGGGCTTTGATGGCGAGAATCTCCGCGATCTGGCTGGACATTTCCTGTTTCCCAGTCAGTATGCAACCGCACCCGTGGATTCACAGCAAACATACATGGTTGTAATGGTTCACCGACTTCATGCCCGGTTGGAACACCTCGACCACCTTTTCCGGAAGCGCATTCATGAGGGTGGACACCCAAGGGAAATGCGCGACCACGTGAACCACATCCAGCAGATCGACCATGGCCTGGATAAACTGCGAGCGGAAGTCGGGGGCTTCGATGAACTGGTACCCCCGGTTAAAGCAGTATTGGACGATGATGTCGGACGCAATGCATCCCCACATCCAGTCAAACCGCAGAACCTTTCCTGTGCCCTGATACTCCCGACGGAGCCGATCACAAAGTTTGTCCAGCTGCTCCTGCATCATGGGTGTGGCCTCGGTGATGGTGCGCTTCGAGAAGAACGCATTTAGAGCAACCCGTCGGCCGTGGTGCACATGGTGCTTGGGGGTTGGGAAGAGCCCAGTATCATTACCGAACCGATGCTGCCAGTGCTCGAGTTTGTCCCACGGCAAAGATTGGGAGTAGAGATCCTCGAAGAAAGAAGAATCCTGAATGTGAATTTCATTCGGGCTGATTCGTACGATGGGTCCTACAGCGAGCACGGTCAGCGGAGGGAATATTGACTTGAAGATATGCTCCAGTACTAACCATACTGCTCGTGAAGCTTGCGGTAATGGAACAGAAACTGTCCTCCCGGGGACTTGAACACTTCGAAATATGTCTCATACCATTGGGTGAAGGCAGCGAGTTTGGGGCCCGGGAACTTGGCGAGCGGATGGAGGGTGATGCGATACAGCCCGAGAGCCAGGAAGTATACTAGGGAAAGAGTCGTGGCAATGCCACATAACAGGAGGGGGGAGTCTACAAGAGACTTCAAAGAGACCACCAAGTCTTGAACCACACCCATGGCGTCGGAGGACAGGGATCAAGCAGCAAACAGACAGAGGATACCAACTGAACACCAAGGGGGGAAGGGGGGTGGACCCGAGATTCTGGGACCAGGTGCAGATAAGTAATGTCGCGTCGCCAGGCAGGCGGACTGGCATCGAGGGCGTAGGCCCCGTCCAGTGGCAGCCGTCATCGATGACCCGAGGGATTGGATCATGAGTCTTCACACGGTCCCGATGGGGTTGGCTTGGACAAGAAACGAATCACCTACACTAGTCATGCCCAGTCGTACATGCTCGATAAGTCAGTACTTAGAGTTGAGGGGGGGGGGGGGGGGGGGTGGTTCCAATGCTCCTCGTCATCTCCTTCCCTTCCTTCCTTCGGTGGGCCAGGCCCGTGCGAACCATTGAAGCTGCCTACAAGGACTAGACCGCCGGGTCGGGAAAGGCTCTTTTGCTTTCGGACTCCAGTAATGATTTTGGCCGGGCTGCAGAATTATGCAGACAAGCAGCAGTGCAGACAACGCAGTGCAGCCAGCACATTGCCTCGCCACCCGGGTTGTGGTTGGCTGCCAGCCCCAACAGTTGCTAGTATTATTGTGTCCACTTTGTCAATGGCTTGCCATTGGCACTGTGGCAGTTCCATTTGGGCAACCATCTACTCCGTACCATCTGGGCTTCCACTCCGATCTTCTTTCATCACCATTCACTGTGAGCGAGTGTATCTGCGAACCCTGCTCTGTAATGCAGGCAAGGCCAATGAGCGGAAGATTGATGCGGGCTGGGATGGGAAATAGCGATTGCCCTACTTTGTTAGTGGCGGACGCCGTCTCCCGTCATTCCCGTCAGTTGCTGTTCAGTCCCAATACGGTGGACGGCGGGCCCGGGGTATCGCATCCACTCTTCTGCACCGCACTGACTGACGGGTGCTAACTTGCTAAACTTGAGGGTACCGTTTCCGGCATAATCCAATATTGACACACTGCACGGCAGTCAGTCCAAAACAGAAGTTGGAGCAAATGGGTGTACCGGTAGATGCACAACAGACAGACGGGCTGAATAATTGTAGACTCTGCCGGGCGTGAATGCGTGAATGATGCTCATCTCGATGATCGACTGCATTACCCATGACGGGTTCGAACAAGCACAGAATAATGCAATCTTGTCTCCTCGTCTCGAGCGGGCCCGCCCTTGAAGCTTCCATTCCTTCATCCCTTTTTCCTTGCCTTTTTTTTTTTTTTTCCTTGAGCCTTTTTTTATTTTTTTTGATTTATTTTTTTTCTCCATCCTCCTCCTTCCCGTCAACCCCTCTCAGTCTCAGTTCAGTTCTATCCCCGCTGGCTGGATACGAAAGTGGAGACTGCACACTGGGACTAGCGCCGGTAAGAGAGGGCCAGCAGAAACTTGCCGAATTGCCGGAAAGTGCAGCAAGTGCAGCAAGCGCAGCAAGTGCAGCCAGTGCAGTGCGTAGCAACACAGCAGAACTGGTTTGTCGATTCCAGCGACGGGGGTCTGACTGGTTGCTTTCCCCCCTCATAGGCCCCATCGAACCATGAACTTTAATTGCTTCGCGGGTGCGACCAGACCAGAGACACTTGACTTTGACAGGACCGTCACCGTTTCATCCTCCCTGTTTGACCCTCTCTAGTAGTCTCTACCCAGAGGAGAGTGGAGGGAGATGACTGGACCAGGCTTCACCAGACACTCAATGCCTGCGAGACTGCTGCAGTAATGACACACTGCCGAAGTCCATGTAGGGGAAAAATAACTGTCTTGCAGGAGGTGGGTGGGAAGTGGATGGAAGGACCCGACTGGAAAGGCCCATGCAGAGACGGATGAGGGCCTACGAACCCACTCACTGAGTTCACATCCGTCTTCCCCCCGAGGCAACCGGCGGATAACCACAGAACCCAATAATTCTGGTACGGGTGGTAAGCTATTGCAAGGCGATCATGAGCAACTCCCCCGTGATGTGATGTTTTCTGTCCTGTACTTTGGGGAGAAGAAGGTTGCCCATCGCGGGTCCAGCGACACGCAATGGTCCGACCGATACTATTCCATAACCGGCAAAATCCTGACAGAACTCAAGGGGAGAGTCAGTTCGCAACCTTCAGCTGCATTGGCAGGAGTGTAAACTATATGAACGGGTGATGGAGGGAATTTGACCCACCCAATCACTCAGTCGGCGATGCGTGGTTTGACCACCGCCCAGCATTCCTTTCTTCCCACCCCCCCTTCGATCGGCAGCAATAGTCATGCACCCACCGGAATAGTGTGGTCATGGCAGCAGCCGTCCCAGCAGCGCGTCCGCCTGCAGCAGCTCTTCAGTCCTGGGAACCCAACCAAATCTGGCTTTCCAGTCGAGTTCGATAAGAGCACGCACGGCTTGCCAATCGAAATCTGGCCCTTCGCTCAAGCCACGACCTTCATCTTTCCCAATGAGGCGTTCCCGCGAACAAAGGTTGAGGGAAATCGCCATTCACCGCTGCCTTCTCGCGCCAGACGTTGTGTAATCACTCCCGGACTGGAATAGGGATCTCGACGAACAGTCACGAATTGTAGCCAGGAAAATCATGAAACGCTGGATGGGATACCATCCATCCGATGGCGCAGAACACAAAAGGGAGCCAACCCCCTCCCCCTGCAGAGATCGGACGAGAACGCCAACGGTCGGCGGTCGGACTGGTTGCGAAGAGGCTTCCATGGTGGTTCGGCGACCACTAGAAGCCAGCTAGCAGGTTAGTCTAGCACCCATGTCGCCAACGGACAAGCCAACGAGGCGTGTCGTGCAGAGGCCCTGTCCACTTGCTCGGGCCCCCTGGCCTGCAGGGCCGGTGAATTAATCCCGGAGCCCGTCGGACACACACCCCCGTCTCGTCTCAGACTGTCGTTCTCCACGAGCACAAATCTTGATTGCGTGCATATTCTCACCTGGAGACTGGAAAGTGTTGCGTGGTTGAGCCAACAATTCAAAATCATGCTTTTATCCCGGTCGCACCGCCGCGCTTGTCCTCCCGAGACGAAGCCCCCGACCAGGATAATGTCGACATATGGTATCGACCGTTTGGCGGACCATCTTTGTCTGTGGTCCAGGTGAGCAGGCAGGTGCGATATTAGCATGGTTGCAGGCCACGAAGAACTCAGAGTATCATGGATAAGCTTCTCTGAACAGATATTAGCGGGGGTCGCCAGCAGAAGGATCTGGCGATCGGCTTGAGCCATTTACCTCGATCAATCCTTCAATGATGTGGTCGCATTTTGACAATGTTGCTTGATTGTCGGTCTCACGGCTATCACTGTTTCTGAATAGGACTCAGCGTTCATCGAGAGTAGTGTCTTTACTTCTGAAGAGATGTGGTGCAGCCTTCCTGGGTTCCTCGCAATGATGTTGGGAGAACCGCTCTCTTGCTTGTGAGGGTGTTATCGTGCTGTAAAATGATGAGATGAGCATGCGCCAGACAAGAGAATCACATTTTCATCTGGACAGGCAATCGCAGGCGCGTTCTTGCTCGCGATCCGAATGCGCAAGTTGGTGGTACAGTAAGGAAGAGGAAGGGAGAGGTGGTCCGGGCGACTGGCCGTCAACAATGGTGGACACCGGGAATTTCAGGCTGGCGTCAGCACTGCAAGTGGATGGAACTTCGTCCCTGCAAATGACTCAGCCAATAATTCGACAGGCTGGAAAAAGAACCCCTTTCACTGCTGTCATACTGCTTCAGGTTCACTCTTCTTCAGCGTCATCTTGAGACACAAACATCGTGCTCCAAATCGATGTACAGTATGCACTGTACCAAAACCAAGTCAAGCACTACGATCGAAGTTTGATACCGGGATGATCCTCTTCATTTCAGGCTTTCAGGTTGTAATTCTCGATCGGAAAGTAGTTATTGGATCAAGCTTGGGGTCCGCCTCGGCGAAAAGTCAATAGACTTCTCGTCAAGGTCGCGCAAGCAAGAATGTATGACATTCAGATCTTGATCTGCGCCGGTAGTTCCATGATTGAGAGAAACATGTGAATTCGTCCTTGTTGAATTTCAGGTCTAGTGGAACAAGCCACCCTGAAAGACAATTCTACCAGAGGAGTATATCTACGCGGCGAGCCTTTCGGCCTGTCGAGATTGACCGTTCGTCAACAGCATGTCAGGAGTATGATTGCTATTTCTCACCATCAGATCATGCGCATGATTTTGTTCCATGAATGACAATGTCGCTCCCATCTTGGAGATTGTATCTCGAGCTCACGCGCCTGAATCATCCTCTCGATGCAATTGTGATCTACCTGCCATGCGCTACCGGTGTCGTCCACGCTGCCGTTGTCTCCCACCGGCAGACCCTTCCTCTGTCCCTAGTACTTCAATGCCTGATCGGATGGCTCCCGATATCGGTGCTCCAGACGAGCTTCGCAAACACCATCAACGATATCCTCGACCAAGACCTGGACCGGAAGGTGTCTCGGTGCCGGAATCGGCCTCTGGCCCGGGGAGCTCTGTCCACGACCCAAGCCAGTCTCTTCGCTGCGATCCAAGCGGTAACGCTCGTTCTTCTCTCCATATGGGCTCTTCCCGGCGCCTCTCGCATCTATCCCATCGCGGCTGTTGTCAGCAGCTGTATTTACCCCTTTGGGAAGCGCATCACCAACTATCCGCAGGCCATTCTCGGGGCCGTGTTCGCCGCAGGCTTCCTCTGGGGGTACGAGTCCACTGGGCTGCGCCTGGCACCTCAGGCTCCGATGGTGAAGATCTCCGCGGGCAGCATGATGGGCGTTCTGTGCTTGTGGGTCGTGATGCTCGACGTGATCTACGCATTTCAGGACGTCGCGGATGATCCCCGCGCCGGGGTCCGGAGCATGAGCGTGCGATTCCAGAACTCGAGTCGATGGCTCCTTACGGTTTTGGGGACCATGTACATGATACTTCTCTTGGTGAGTGGGGTTGCTGCCAGTCTGGGCCGGAATTTTGTGGTTGTTGCGGGATGCGCGGCGACAACTCTCGTCGTTAATCTGTGCTGGGTGGGTGTCACATCTAGGGCGAGTTGCCGGTGGAGGTTCAGGCGGGGGCTTCCGTTGATGGCGGGGATTGTGTTTTTGGGTCTGTTTGGGATCGCGTGTCTGAGGGGTTCGTAGGTGGCACAGCTGCTGCGTCAACATGTTCGGTGTCGTCGGTGTAGAATACATGCACCTGCAGCTCTCTGCAACTGCGTTCCTGGTCTAGGGCAGCAATGGAAACAGAACTCTTTGAAATGCTATATACCTTTATCGCGAAACCAACCTGCACCATCGTATACAATCAGCACATATGCTATACCACAACAATGGACTCCTCACCACCCGCCCCAAAACCCCTCTCATGAACCTGACATCAACCACCCAAACCTACCCTCTCACCCTCTTTCCCCTCAGAAACTCATAATCCGGCATGGCCTCCTCAACCGCGCGCTCCAACATCGCGGCGATCTCCTCCCCAAACTCCCCTCTCCACTTCATAACCTCAGCCCTTACATCCACCGCGGCCGGCGTCTTCTCCTTCATCACGCCAGATGACCCCTCCAGCGTGGACAACATAATCCTGGCCGCAGCATAATAATCCCTCTGCTCCTGGGTCAGCACCCCCTCTTCCTCCTCCTTCTTGCCCCTGCGCTGATGCGGCTCGCCCACGCCCCACTCCCACTTGACCACCCCCTCGTCCAACCCAGCCAGCCGACAAAACCGTCTCACCGCCGCCGGCTCATGAATCAAATCATGGGCATCAAGCAGGAGAACCTCCTCCCCCGGCTTCTGCCGCAGACACCACTCGACTAACCCCCTCGTCCACCGCAGGGACATATTGGTCGCCAGCGTGCCGCGCAGCGTCTCCTCGTCATCGACCAGATACCCGGTCTCGCCGACCTTGCGCATGGCGCGGTAGAAGCTCGGGAACGCGAGGGCCGGATGCCGGATGATGAAGGCCAGGCGCCAGGTGCGGAGGTATTCGTCGGGAAAGATGGTTTCGTTGCCTGACGAAAACGTGGCGGTGGTGGTGGGGCCGTATGTTTCGGGCAGGGGCAGACGGAAGAGGGTCTCGTCTGCTTCTCTTCTGTCCGCATCGTCCGAGGCCGACTCGTCTGGGTCGGTCGGGTGGAAGGAGACCGGGTTGGCGAACCAGAAGGCGTGTTCTTTGGCGAAGGCCCGTTTGCCGTTCGTGGCGGCCTCGGCGGAGAAGGCCTCCAGGGCATCGAAGCACGACTGGAAGACGGAGCGGACTTGCGCCACGGTGGCGGGGGGCCAGGTGGCCGGCGGGGTGATCAGGACGCTGCTCTGCGCGGCGGCTGTGAAGGCATCGAAGAAGAAGTAGCCGCCTTTGTTGTTGGTGTGGAGGGCGGGTTGGGAGTGGATGTTGAGGACTTTGAGGAGCAGGTTGGAGGCGGTGCGCGGGACGCTGACCAGGAGGAGGCGTTGTTGGTCCGTGGGGTCGGTTTTGGTCATTTTTTCCCTGTTTTGTTGGTGCTTGGGGATCAGTATTTGGGTCAGTCGTTTACAGTGTGATTGATTAGATCGATTGCGCTGCAGGATCGCTGGATTGACAGCCAGTGAGCGGGAGCTCGGGTCACAGGTTAAGCTTAAGTGAGGGTGTGAGCAATGAGAACCTCAGAAGATGAGGACATACCGGGGCCCGATGGCGTGATTTCAGCCTCTACTTATAGTTCTTTAGGCTTGGGGGCTTGGACTAGTTGGTTAGTGGTTGTTGATGGCGCATGGACTACTGGAGTATAGTCTGAGAGTATACTGTACACTATACCTTAAAAAAAGCCCTCATTGTACAGTACACATGACCCCTCAATCGGCCCACCCTCTCGACGAACTCGCGAAACTTGCCTCCATCCCTGCTCGACCTCCGACAGTGGAGGCTCAACACGGGTAACAGGCTTGATCATTGGCTTGCATTTGGCGATCGGCAAGGATTGTGGCTGTTAGGCTGTCAGAATTAGTAACGGTCTCGGTCGCTCGGCTTTAGGACTGTCCGATTAACAGCGATGTCAAGCACTGAGGGCTGGGATGTGGTGACAGATGCAGATCATCCCGGTCACGTCCCCACTAAACTTGTCCCAGTTGAGGCAGAAAGCGTAGAGGTCACCATGTCACTCGCGGGGATTGGTTGGGGTGGGGAGGATAGTGCTTGTCCGAGGTTTCACAAGATGAATGGAGATTGGACTGGGGTCTTGGTGGGTGGGTTCGACTCCGACGGAAGACTCAGGCCCGCACCAGTCGTTGAATGATGGGGGTTGCAGTTCGAGTGGAACCGTGCATGTCAAGCTAGGGTAGGGTAGGATAGTCTAGGGGCTGGGAAAGCCTTGACCATCCTTTGGGGAAGAGATACACAAAGTGCTTATCAGTTGGTGTTTCATCTAGAAGAGCAAGCATTTGAAACTCTGCATCGTCGCATTACAATCAATGCATGCAGGATCAAGACCTGGCGAATCGGTTTGAACACTTGCTGGAACATAACCGGGTTTTCACATCATGTTGAACTTGATGAGATGAAGATTGCGTCTGGCCCGAACGACATACCGTACATCTAGGCTGATTGTTGCACAGCTCTACCGTTGCTACGTTTCCTGGTCCTTGGAGACGGCAACGGTGAAACCGCCTTCTGCTTCTATTACCGCTCTCGGCTTATCCAGATACCATTCTGAGCGCGATGGCAACTTTGCATGCCTGGATTTCAAAGTCCATTTTGAGCTTAGACGAAACGGACGAACCTGCGGCTCAAGGCTGGACGCTATAGCATGACACTTACTTTAGCGGTTCACCTGCGCACCAAAGGTCCGAATCCACGACCAGAAAGAATCATACATCGGTTGTTGACTTCACAGCTCCTCCCCCCCTTTCATCAAGCTCAATACTCTCCCTCGTCACAGAGATCTGGACACTTTTCATAATAGCGTTGGTCCGTTTAAGCAGACACGGAGTCTTAGATGATGAAGCCGAGGCCGATGTACCTTGCAGGATTGGCTCGCGGTCCGTACCATTCCTCCTTGGCTGAAGAGATGGGTCTTTGATGTGGCGCGACAACTTCCACGCCGTGGGCGCTGTTGGCCCACTGTTACTGTGAGATCCTGATATCTCTTCTGTGTAGGCGAAGCCTTGGTCGTCTTCGTACACCGCGACAAACAGCTTGAGAGACGATATTGTCAAGAGTACGATGCCGAGGCTCATATGAAGCTCTGCGGTAGTGGTGGCGTAGGCTCCAAGGAGGGTAGGATCGGACGAACCGATCTGTCTCTGAACGAAATACAAGTGGACAGCGGAGAGAGGTATCAGTCTGTACAAGAGTATAAGCGGAGTGTGCTTCAAAGAAAAGACGATCCACGGACATAATGCGAAAGCTGAGAATACCCAAGACTATCATCTTTTTCCTTGGGGATATCTGGACATTCAGGATGATCACCACCGGGTAGGACAGAATGAACGCTTCGAGAATTATGTCGAGCGCACTGATTGCTCGCCAGCGTGGCAGCTATTAAGAGTATCCAGTGAGTATTCATTTATCCCACACTATTCCAATCATACTCGACTCACAAGGCCTGGACATTCATGGTCGATGTCGACCCAAGGATCGCTACTGCATCGAATGGCTAACAGGAGCATTGCCAGAAGCGTCCACAAGATACATGCCACCAGAATAGACTTGATCATCCATTTGGTCCGAGGCAACGAGAGATTTTGGTAGAACAGCATTGTGCATATCTTCAATAGCCCTAGGATGAGCACATACAATAGGTCTGCTGCATAGCCGGCCTGGGGCATAAGAGACGTGGAGCTCAGTCACGATACTGATAGAGCACGGATGTGTACGTACCCTGAGCATAGAGGAGGAGTCCGCAGAACGAAGTATATCTTTCGACTGGCCCCACCCAAAGTGAACTTGGACCAGCACCAAAGACACTTGCACGCAGGCGCATGCCTAAGGGAGTTGAATCTCAGTCAGCGAGCCAGCGGGACAGGAGCTTCCGGCGGGGTTGTTTCAGCACAGCTGCAACCTTACCACAACTACAAACAGAACATAATCATCACGTAAGAGAATACTTCGCTTCGAGGATGCGAACATCCGGATTCCGAGGGACGCCAAGACGAGAAAGAGTCCCAGGGAAGTAATGAAGACAATCAGGCCGTTGTGATTATGCTCGTTTTCTTCGGTCAGGGGAGAAGAAACCCCGGGCGGCAGGGACGAGGAGCGAGTGGCCATCAGGGAGGAAGCTATTGCGAACTCAAGCTGAAGGACTGGAAGAACGGAGGTTGCATCGCTAGGACGAGTATATCAACAGGCACCTCCAAGAGGAGGGACTGTATTGAAGCATGTTGAAGGAGACCAGCAACGTATTGAGAGCATAAAGGTCAGCCTAGCTGGCGACACCAATGACTTCTTCACATCATCTTTTTGCTTTTGCTCCTCTAGGAAATTGCGAGGTGCGACTGAGCAGAGATGACCCTTGCAACCCTGTCTGACACCCTGCCATGATTGCTACCTTTGGCGCCTATCGGCTGTCTGCATCACCGCCTTCGAGGATTTCTTCCTGATGAAGCTGAACGTACATTCGGGGAAATTAGTCCAGATTTTGATCCCATTCCCGCAATGGACAGGCGGCCCTGCTCTCTCGGACAATAGCTAGCGTGGCTTTATGCATACTTTGCCACTTGACCACCGGTCGCAAATCATGAAACCGAAGGTACATGAGGGCAGTCTAACGCCATCGCATATCCCTTGAGGAATTGGAAAACCGACTGGACGAAACCTCTTATTGACTTGTTCAATCTCTTCAATTCCGCTGAGGCAGCGCTCGTCCACTCATGAGTTCCCGTGTCACTCAGGCTTGACTGACGTGATGGGAAATGATGACTGCCGTCGTCCTAAGGCCCAAACCTCGTATTTCATCTATCGCAATGTCTCGGGGTGTAGTATCAGCCACGATTGTGGCCTTGTATGATGCTTCCACGGCAGTCCCCAGGCTGCAATTGTAGATTCAAGCCTGTCACAGCCAGATGAGCTTCCTTGATGTGCCAAACACCGGGCGTGTCTCGTAGTGGTGACAAGAGAGAGAGACCAATTGGAATTGGCGTGGCCAAAAGTACGTTACACGACTTTCCAGCGCGTTGTCGACCTCGTTTTCCCTCCCGCCATGAGATGGGCTCACGTGGTGGTGTCAAGCATGTTTTTCCTCCGTTGTGTTCTGCACCGGTCGGTATCCCCAATTCAACCATTCCGATGGAAGAGGGAGAAGGAGAGGAGTGATTTGCCGTCTAGGCTGCCGATCGAGTGGCGGAAACGACCCTTGTAGCTTGGTTACACACCTGTACACACCAGGTCAGCACGTTGCAATAAAGTCCAGCTGGGGCATGTCAGAAATGGCCCAGGGTGCATACGCCTGGAAGCAAGACCGAGGTTCCACGGGAGGAATGACGGAAGACATGCTTGACATCGATGAAAGGGGGCGGGGTACTGTAACGGTCAGGTGAATATGTGTAATGTACTGTATCTGTGGAGATAGAATCCGGAAGAAAAAAAGAAAAAAAGAAAAACCAATGATGGGATTGAAAACAAATTGAAGGAATACAGAGAGAGAGAGCCTGGAGTTTGTTTTGAGAAAGGGGAAAAGAGAGGGAGATCATCCGTAGACACATCCCTGTCCATACAAACAAAACAACCACTTATTCTCACTCACCCACGCCGCTTTCCCTTTCCTACTCCCTCTCACGTTGCACAACAACTGGGCTTTACCTATCGGCTGCCCCTTTTCCATCCCTTTCACGGCCTTTGCCGTTCAGGCCTGACTCTCATCCTCACCCTTCCTACTGTCTATCTACAATCATGGCTACAGCGTCTGCAGGTCTCTCCAATTCGCGAAAGGGAGAGGATCTGATCACGGCGACAGGATGCCACCCTCTCGAGATTCCCACGGAAGATAAAGATGGAGAGATGGGCACCCGGCACGACCACACTGATATGACCCGCATGGGCAAGGCCCAGGAATTCAAGGTTGGTAGCTGACAGCTGACCTGCACTGCTCATCTTTCGAGTACCCGGAATAATAGAGCCGATTGGACCGTTGACACCATATCTCATATTAGAGGAATCTCCGACCGCTGGCTGCTCTCAGTTTTGCATCGGTCCTCCAGGCCACCTGGGAATTTATCCTCATGTACGAACGCCTAGGCAGCGATCCTTTCGAAGGCAGAACTAATAGTGATAGCTTCTGACAGATCGAATACACAAGGCCTTGAGAATGGGGGAATGGCCGGGTTGGTCTGGACCTATGTGTGGACCTTTGTTGGTTTTGGCTTCATCATCGTTTCGCTGTCGGAAATGGCATCCATGTCAGTCACGCCTTTATTTCGCAAGGATTTAGGAGATGCGATCTAATATACCTCGCTGGAAGTATAGGGCTCCCACGTCTGGAGGACAATACCACTGGGTTTCAGAGTTTGCCTCCCCACGCTACCAAAAGTTCTTGAGCTATTTGACCGGTCTGCAACACCTCTTACCATGGATGTCTGGTTTGTCTCATTAACTTGCATAGGGTGGATGTCTGTGCTGGCATGGCAGGCGGGTGCAGCATCTGGATCCTTCCTCACCGGCACTATCATCCAGGGCCTGATCAGCGTACACAATCCGAAATACGAACCCACAAGATGGCAAGGTACGCTCTTTGTCTTTGCCATGATCTTAGTGATCTACTTCTTCAATGTCTATGCAGCGAGCTGGATGCCCCGGATCCAGAATGTACTGCTCACTCTGCATACCCTCTGTTGGGTGATTGTAGTTGTCGTTCTCTGGGCCATGGCCCCTCGCCAATCTGCCAGGGCTGTGTTTACAGAGATCAAGACATATAGTGGGTGGCATAATGCGGGGCTGGCACTCATGATTGGACAAATCTCCGCCATCTATGGGTCGCTTAGCTCTGATGCCACGGCCCACATGTCCGAGGAGGTCCGCGATGCCGGTCGTTATGTGCCTCTAGCCATCGTTGGTGGATATTTCAGCAATGGAATCCTGGCGCTCATCACTGTAATCACCCTGATGTTTGCCATGCCATCGGTCGAGGATGCATTGAATGATCCAACAGGCTTTCCATTCATTTACGTGTTCAAACAGGCCGTCTCCACAGCGGGCGTCAATGGGTTGACGGCCATCATACTTATCCCGGTCATCTTCAGCAACATCCTTTTCAATGCCTCGACGGCCCGTCAGACGTATGCCTTCGCTCGAGACAAGGGATTGCCCTTTGCAAGTTGGATCTCGCATGTGAACCAGAGCTACAAGCTACCGGTCAATGCCATCGCACTGTCGTGTATCATCAGCGGCCTTCTTTCTCTCATCAATATCGGCTCCGACACGGCATTCAATGCGATCATATCGCTGAACGTTGCAGCCCTCATGTGGACCTATGCAATTTCAATCAGCTGTGTGATGTATCGCAAGATCTACCTTCCCGATACACTACCGCACCGCCGCTGGAGTCTAGGCCGACATGGTCTATGGGTGAATGCCACCGGTCTGGTGTATGTTCTCTTTGCGCTATTCTGGTCATTCTGGCCCCCGGAGATCCCGGTCACCTTAAAGAACTTCAACTGGAGCGTTGTCCTGTTTATCGGAGTGTTTCTGATCAGCGTTGCAATGTACATATTTCAGGGAAGGTGGGTTTACAAAGGGCCTGTTGTGGATGTCAAACGGTTGTGAATCGTCTTTGTCCCTTGGAGCGATCACTTTGAGCATCTTCTCGGCGCAGACACTCTGTTGACTATTTTCGGACAATACTGTTCATGAGAAACAACTTTCGCAGCGGCTATGTAATTGTGCGGGGATGGTGGCTCACGTGCTTGTGTCCATCGCTATCCCTGTTGACTTTACCCCTCACTTCTACCATCTACGCCAATCAATTGACGCGCTGCCTCGGGCCAACTCTCTCATGTTTAAGGTGAGATCGTAAGCACCATCACTTGTCTCTCGCATTATGAAACATCGATATTGCGACAATCACTCAAGCCTGCAGACTCCTTGCGGTATCCGAAGGTTCACCCTCGGTAAATGCGGGAGCGAAACCCGAGACCCTCTATTTAGCCTTAAATCCTTTGATGAAGTCATCAGGGTCGGGCCTTGAATCTTTGGGCCAACGATAGCACAGCACACCCTGATACTTTGTGCCGTCATTTAAAGCTTATGTTTCAATGTATTCCAATCGGTCGTCCTTCGAGCCCAATTACCCTTTCCAGATGGCATTGTTTGCGTAGGATCGGGGCCCATTTGCCTCCTTCCGGTCTCTTTCCTCGTTCTAAACCCTTTTCAATTAAGCCGACCCCTCGCATGTCTAGACGTTCCGATTCCTGGATAATTGAACCAGTCCCCCCCCACAAAACCTGCAGGGTGCTTTAAACCGGCAAAATTCTTCGGCCTGGTAATATAGCTCTTCTGCACACCCCGCACGATGCGGGAAAAGTGGTGATGATGAAGAAGAAGCGGACGGCTACATAAAGTCAACCCCATGGTGGAGCATATGTTGCAACAGAGTGCGCTGTTCCCTTCGCCGTGCAAACCTAATAGACGTTCTGCAACAATATGAGGCTTTTTGTCTTGTTGACCTTCGTCTCCCAGATCGCTAGCGCGTTACCCAGCTCTGCGGATGGCGCTTCAGCTCCCACTGTTGACCTTGGATACTCTAAGTATCAAGGTGCCCGTCTCGCGGGAGGAGTAGATCAATTCTTGGGTATGCGCTATGCTGCTCCTCCCTTGGGAGATCTTAGATTTCGAGCGCCCCAAGATCCCATGACGAATGCCACATTACAGACGGCCACTGAGGTATATTCCACTCCATTGACTGCATCTAAATGGCTTTGCTCTTCCCCCGGTACTAATTGAGAAAGTTAGTATGGGCCAATTTGTATTGGTGTCGATCAAGACAATTCCCCCGCTGACTGGACGGAGGATTGTCTCTTCATCAACGTTTTCAAGCCTTCGACAGCTACGCCACAGTCGAAGCTGCCCGTATGGTTCTTTATCCAGGGCGGAGGGTACGCACAGAACTCCAATTCCAATTACAATGGAACGGCCGTCGTGGAGGAATCTGGTCACGGACTGGTGTTTGTCACGCTCAATTATCGCGTCGGAGCTTTGGGCTTCCTGGCCAGCGAAGAAGTGCGGAAGCACGGTGACTTGAATGTGGGTTTGTTGGATCAACGCAAGGCTATGCATTGGATCAAAAAGCATATCGCATCAGTACGTACCCCGTATTTCCCAGGCACTTGCGGGGGCCACCAGTTAAGACTAACAAAGAATAGTTTGGCGGAGATCCAGACCACATTGTGATCCACGGTGTCTCTGCGGGCGCAGGATCCGTGGCCTTCCACCTCACGGCATTCGGAGGAAAGGATGAGAAGCTATTTGTGGGCGCTGTGGCTGAATCATCGTTCTGGCCCACCCAGCGCACGGTCGCAGAGATGGAATTCCAGTACGAGCGGTTTGTCAATGACACTGGCTGTTCCAAGGCGACGAATTCTCTTCAATGTCTCCGAGACCTCGACATCGCGACCATCCAAGGTGCCAATACGGCTTCACCCTTCCCAGGAGGCAGCAGTAGCCCCCTTCCCGACTGGTACTGGCTACCAGTGACCGATGGCAACTTGGTTCCGGAGCTTCTGTACGATGCCTTCAAGAAGGGGAACTTCATCAGGGTCCCGGCACTGGTGGGTGACGACACAGACGAAGGCTCGAATTTCGCCTACAACGCTAGCACTCGCTCTGATGTGTCGCAGTTCTTCAAGAACAACTACCCTCACCTGACCGCGGCACAGCTGGACAGAATACTGGAGGCCTATCCGCAAACTAGCCCGTTACCCAAGCATGGAGCCTGGTTCCGATCCTCGTCCGATGCTTATGGGGATGCATGCTTCACGTGCCCCGGTAACCATTTGACCGCATCCGTTGCCAAGCACCTCCCGCACTCGACGTGGAACTACCGGGTCAATATCCTCGACCAGTCGAACCTAGCTGGCGGCATAGGAGTCCCGCATACCTTTGAGCTACCAGCCATCTTTGGTGCGGGCAGCACCGGGGCGCTCAGTAGCACGTCTTCGTATCTCAGCTACAATGCTGGGATTATCCCGGTGACCATGCACTACTTTATCAGTTTTGCCATGAAGCTCGATCCGAATCCTCTCCGATATAGCGGTGCGCCGGAATGGAACACCTGGGGTAGTGGGTCACGTCTGCGGCTGCAGACAAACAGCACTGCGATGGAGGAGGTGCCTGCAGTCTCGGTGCAGCGCTGTCAGTTGTGGGAGGATTTGAGCGGCACAACCGAAGTTTAACTGGGATGCGACGTAGAGAATTCGTCGTCATATACAAACATAGAACATCTCTGCATGTGTCTTTCAATACAACTTGATGTGAGATGCATGGCATGTCATTTGGGCTGTATCACTTTCATCCTAAATTCTAAACAAGGTGTTATCAGATGCTTGGCGCTCGTAATGGGAACGCCTCCAAATGCCAATCCCTCAGCCTTACGTCGCGACGATCGCCTTTTTGTCCCGTGTTTTGTCCCGTCTCTTTTCTGCCATCTTCCTTCCACCTCTCGTACTTTGATACTTCTGCTAAACTTCTCTACTTTCGAGATACTACTACTTATACACTGCACAGCTCGTTCCCCATCCAGTGCGCGAAGATGAGTGCAGAGACCACGATTGCAGTTCCCCCGCCGCCCGACCAGCCGGACCCCACCGACCGTGACGTCACCGATAAGGAGCAACACGCCGCCCAAACAATCCAGGTTCGATCAAACTTCAATTTTCTCGGAACTTTGTCTGCGTCGCTGACCTACTTCTCTACTCAAGAGAGTATACCGGGGCTATCGTACGCGGAGAGAGTTACGCGGGCTCGGACTCTCGCAGCACTCACAGAACACATCGCGACTGATCGAGGTAAAATCCCCCCGACCGCATTCCCCGCCTCTTATCCCCCTCGTCGCTGACCCAACCATCCTCAAAAGGCCGTCAAAGAAGCCGAATGGCGTCAGATACACCGACCGTCCGCGCCCGAGGACACCAGCGATCTCGACAGCGCCGCCCATGCGCGTAAGAACTGGCTCCGAGCCGTCAGCGTGGCCAAGCGAGCCGGGGGCGACGATGACGACGACCTCCTGCCCGCGCTCCCCGACGAGCCCGCCTCAACCACAACCTCCGCTCAGCATGAGTCTCGCACCTCCACCAGTGCCAGCAACAGCCACGGGCCACAGATACACCACGACCTCCCCGCCGGCACAACTGCCAAGATGATGGACCTCCAATACTTCCTGGAGATGGTCGACCTGAAACACCGCCACGGCAGCAACCTGCGCGTCTACCACATGTACTGGAAGACCTCGCCCACGCAGCAGAACTTCTTCTACTGGCTCGACCACGGCGAGGGCAAGGACCTCGATCTTCCGCAGTGTCCGCGCGAGAAGCTCGAGCGCCAGCAGGTGCGCTACCTGAGCCGCGAGGAGCGCATGAACTACCTCGTGACCGTCGACACGGCGGGGCGGTTCCGCTGGGCGAGGAACAACGAGCTCGTGTGGACGGACAGTAAGCGGTTCAAGGATAGCCTGCATGGCGTGGTGCCGGTCGAGGAGAACGCACCCCGGTTCAAGGGGAATGATGCTGCTGCCGATGGCGAGGCGTCGTTTGGAACATCGTCGTCGTCGTCCTCACTCTCGTCGCTCTCGTCGTCAGACTTCAGTACCACGGAGAGTGTGCACGATGATACAATCGGGAAGCATGATACCGATCAGTACAAGGCGGCCAAGGTGGCGAAGAAGTTCGTGCACACCACGCCGGCGACGATGTTGAATGCGCTAAAGGGGAAGTCGTCCAAACGAAAGGAGGATATGTGGATTTTCGTCAGTCACCCTCTTTTTGTTGAAAATTGTCTTGCATCACAGTCATTGACAGGGTCTTACCGATGTAGGTGGCCGATACCTCCTTCCGGCTCTTCGTCGGCATCAAAGAGTCCGGCGCATTCCAGCACTCATCATTTCTCCGGGGCGCCCGCATCGCGGCCGCCGGGTTAATCAAGATACGCAACGGCCAACTGCGGAGTCTGGCACCCCTCAGGTAAATTTCCACCATCACCCTCACCAATATCCGGCCGACCAGAGTGAAGAGCTAACCCCAACCGTAGTGGCCACTACCGCCCGCCCGCCGCCAACTTCCGCGCCTTCGTGCACTCCCTGCAGGACCAAGGCGTCGACATGTCAGGCGTCTCCATCAGCAAGTCGTACGCCGTGTTGCTCGGCATCGAGGGCTACACGCGCACCAAGCGCAAGGTTCGGGCGCTGCACGAGAAGGCGGATGAGGCGAAACACAAGCTTCTGCGCAAGCGGAGGGAGAAGGCCGAGGCGCACGAGCGCGGGGAGGAGACAATCAACAAATCCGATCAGCCAGGGGACGGGGTGCAGAACAGTGCAGGAGGTGCTGAGGTACAGCCGGAGAGTAAGCCTCGCACGATGAATTTGCCCATTCGGCAGAAGTCCTTCCCGGCCGCGTGAGGGTTCCTTTTCTGTTTGTGGGCTGTGTACGCTTTGTTTGTTATGGCTTCTTTTCACCAGCAGCTTTCTTGATGATTGTGTACTTTCTTATGTGACACTCCTTATACCCCTACCTAGGAATAATACAGGCCTTCAGATTCTGGACACGCTTCTGGTTGCAATGGTTATTCTCTTCGCGTGGCCACTACGGAGGATAGGTGGTGGCCTATGCTATGCATAAACTTACTTTAGTGACTATCTTTGTAAATTAGCTCTTTTGTGTCTGATGGAAAGGAGATTTGCAAAAATATCCTGGTTTAGTGGCGAATTGATAGCAAATACGCAAGATATATACTTTGCAAGTCCCACGGCTAGACAATTCATTTCCCCTATGGTGCCTATCGAGCGAGGTTCACCACCCTTCGCAATCGTATGCTTTGTTCTAATTTCCAATCCAGCAGTTACTACAAGAATCAAAAGTCCCTTACTCTTCACTTAGACTCAAATGACAGTTCAGGAATTTGTCGACTGATGCCAGACATGGGTCTGGCGGCCAGGTCACGTGTACCAAGAGCAGTTCCGCCCGCGGACTGTTGGTTTTCCACAAATCTACTACACCGTATAGTACTCGTCAACGCCACGGGCTAAGATCTAGCGGTCAGGTCCTATCCGAGATTAAGACTTGTCTCTTTCGTGACGGTGGATCTTGCCTGCATATGAGAATCAAAGAATGCAAAGGGGGAGATGGTTTTAGCCGGTGGGTCTCCATACGTGACCGTGAGTGTGTGTGCTCTTGTCTGGTCTCGAGTTCCGTTGGATCTCCACTGCCTGGAATGTTAGCTGATTCGATCTAGTAATCTCTGTGTGTGGTGGCTGCAGGGCCTTTGCTTTTCCGAATCAGCACTTCACAGCTTTCCAGCCTCAAGAAGGCTTCATATCTGACAACTACGATTATGTCTCTGTGATAACGCTGTACCCTGATTAGCATGGGAGTACAGTACATGCCCATATTCGATTCAAATTTCCGCCCAGAATGCTCCGACCAGCGCATGAAAAGATCACGGGGCGAATGTGGCATGTGTACGAGAGGGGTAATCTGAGACATGGCCGGCTAGTGCCTACCTAGAAGGGCATTGGAGCCGGCGCAAACCTGGTCGGCTGATGTAACCCATCATCCTAGAAGCAAGGAGATGGGGCTTCTCTGTGCCACTTGGCTCGACTAGTAGTGCTTTCTTTCCTTTGTCGGGAATGTCGAACTGGGGCCAGAATTTCCGGTTATCAATCACCGCGTGGTGTGCAGCTGTCATGATCATTCCAGGTTATCTGATCGACCGCTTTGCGGTTAGGCCGGCCATTTCCAAATCTTCTTTGCAGCTGGTTCGCTTCCTGGTATTCACTAACAATTCGAGCTTCCTCATGCCACCTGGAAGACATTGCTCCGGATGATACGATGGGTCGCGCTATGGAGCTTAATCGAGTGCGGCCATTTCCTCGCCCGTGGAACATGGTCCTTCGCCGGCGAAGGAGAAATTAATCGCGCAGTCATGCATTAGTTGACAGCCAAGCGCGGAGTCCATGAACACTTGGCAGATGATAAGCCTGGCCAAGAGGACGAGCCGGGAAAAGTCATTACTTTGCACAGCTCCACGACGTGCGTCCTTTCCGGACTCTTATCGCGCTATGCTGAAAAAAGGTGCACCTTGCGAGATTATCTGATCCGCTGGGACCATAGACGTAGACGACAATTATGGATTTGCTGCGACTTCGCGCGGGTGGCTCCCCACCTCAGCCTTATGTCCCCAAATGGCTCGACAAGCATTTCTTGATCTGCGCTGGGTCGTATGGCATCAGAAAAATCTGCTCAGCCCTACGCCTTGTAGGGCTGAAGAGCGGCATCAAATTCACAAGGACTTATTTCTGTGGTGTTCGGGTGATAATCTTTGACATCGGCGGGATCTGATAAGAACACAGAAAATATGCACTTTTTTCCCTTCCAATGGTCTGATCGGCTCGCTACCACGACTAAAATCACGCCGTGGAGAAATTTGCAGCACGGACGTGTTGAGTCGAGTTATCTTATGCGGCAGCACCTTGTCATTTCCGAACCTAATCCGGAGGGTCCGGTGGTTTGGAACGTCATCCTCGTCGATAATCAATCAGATAATATGACAATTTAGTTCAAGAGATCAGCTGCACCACGGAATTGTCGCCTTTGATTCGAGGTTTCCCCTCCACCAAGACCCTCACCTGCAAAACTAGTCTAGAATGCACCCACGGGCGAGGGGAGGGCGATGGCTGACCACCTAACCCTTTTGGCCCGTATCCTCCTCATGATCGGGACAAACTAGCCGAACGCTTAGCCGACCACATTCCAGCATTGGCCGAAAGGTGGATACGGACCGCACAAGAACATGACCGCACAATCAGGCAGACACTGTTCCTCAAACACCACAAAACATGAACAGAGCAGAAGAAAAGCGATGATCCTGCGAATAATCTACTATCTCCTGGAATGAGGATGGATGCGTGGATGGTGTGAAAAATGTGCCTTTCACAACACGAGACACTAGAGCCACCGGAGCTCCACCTTGGCTAGGCAGCCGTTCTTCCTTCACCCTGAATCCATAAGGCTAGGTAGGGCTGAACCAAGTTACGAGCCAAGTCGGACAGAACCCGGGCCCACTCTACCCTTTGCCCCCCTAGCAGCGCGTGCTGTGATGACGGTCGGATGTTGTGGGTGGTGAAATGGGAAAATCTGGTCAAACCACTTACCCGGGGCCAGCTGTTAAGTATCGCCTCCCCCCTGGCACGGCGGAATCTTATCTGATGGAAAATATCTGATCGATCAGATAATCTTGTTGCACTTCGCCGTCGCTCTAGCGGAATTATTTTCCCACCCCAATTGGGGCACAAGTCTGGTCGGCCGCCCCTAACTGAATTTTCCTCGCGAAAATGGCCACCGATACGAAAGGGATGGAAAAGGAGGTGTATGCGGTAGATAGCGATGACAAGGGTAAGCTTTTCCCCCGGCAGAGTGTCTGCGCGACCGTCCGCTTGCATCCAGTCCTAGTGCTGACAGCAACAACCTCTCAAGCCGAAGTCGAGTCGCAGACCGAGGTGCTGCGAGCTGCTGGCATTGGCATCTCCGAGGATGATCCGACTGAGCCGGTTCTGACCCTGCGCATGTGGGTGCTTGGGGTTGGCTTCTGTATCGTTGCCAGTGGCTTCAACACCCTGTACACCCTCCGCAATCCGTCCATTACGATCTCAGCCACCGTCGTTCTTCTTCTTGCATACCCGTTAGGAAAGCTTTGGGAAAAGGCCATCCCTGCTTGGAACGTGCCTTTGGGAGCGTGGAGTTTCAACCTAAACCCGGGCCCGTTTAATCAGAAGGTGAGTGTCTCTTGTATCACAGCGAATGGGATACGTTGCATTAACATTCGTCTGCGTTCAGGAACATGTCTTGATTTATATGATGTCGAATCTGAGTATTTACGTCCGTCTAGGCGCGGATGTTCTCACCGAACAGCAGAAATTCTATGGGTACAGTGCGGGCTGGGGTTTCCAGATGCTGATCACATTTGGAACCTTCCTCATTGGATTCTGTCTGGCTGGGTTCTTCCGTGCTCTTGTAGTTGGGCCTCGCGAATTGGTCTGGCCAGGCGTTCTGAGCTGCACTGCTCTGACGACAACTCTACATCAAGTGGGCCAGGGGGACGTTCAAGGACTGTAAGTGATTTTCAGGTTCGCTTAGAGAATGACAACTAATCGACCAATACTAGCAACGCAACTTGGAAGATCTCGCGGTACGGGTTCTTCAGCCTTGCATTCTGCATCTCCTTCTGCTGGTACTGGTTCCCGGACTTCATATTCCCGGCCCTGAGCTACTTTACTTTTCCTTGTTGGATCAACCCCAAGAGTACGGTTGTCAATCAGCTGTTCGGCATGACAAGTGGCATGGGACTGTTGCCCATCACTTTCGATTGTAAGTTTTGCAGTCATGAATTCAGTTTGAGCAATGCTTACCTGTAGTGTCACGCAGGGAGTCAGATCTCGTATGTCGGATCCCCTCTGTTGATCCCTTCCTGGGCCATCGTCAACGTCTTCGCCGGTCTGGTCTTTTGGATATGGATCGTGGCGGTCGCATGCTACTATTCGAACATCTGGTATACCGGCCATCTGCCCTTCCAGAGCTCGTCGGGTAAGCTGTCTATGTTTCACGGCAACCTGGGATTTTCCCGCTAATGGGTGGTCTGACCTCTAGTGTACGACAACACTGGCGCCGTGTACAAAGCATCCAAGGTCGTCAGCGCGGCGACTGGATACAAACTGGACTTGGCAAAGTACAAGGCTTACTCGCCAGTAAGTGGTGGCAGAGATAGCGTTATCGAAGCACAGCTGACAAACATGAAAGGTCTACACCCCTGTCACCTACGCCCTGAACATGTTTGGTTTGTCCTTCGCGACACTGAGCTCGCTCCTCGTGTGGACATTCCTTGAGAAGCGCGATGTCATGACGGCTGCGGCTCGAAGAATCCCCAAGCTGGTCCGCCAGTCCTTCTCCAGCGAACAAGAGGAATCGGAGAAGATCGGCGCGCATGCACGTGTGCCGACGTGGTGGTACCTCTTGACCGCCATTGTCGCGCTCTTTGTGACTATTTTTGCCGTGGAGTACTGGCGCGTCGAGCTGCATTGGTATGGCGTTCTGCTGGCGTGTGCCGTTGCCATGGTGTTCTACGGACCGGTAAGTGTATTCCTTGCACTCGCCTCTAGGCTTCATTCTAAATCGTGCCATAGTTGGCTCTGGTGTATGCGACCTCGAATTTGAAGATCAACATAGATATCCTATGCCGGATCATCGCGGGGTTCGTCTTCGAGAACCGCATCCTCGCCAACATCTGGTTCTTCGACATCGGCTACATCACGACTATCAAAGGTCTCTACTTCGCCCAGGACATGAAGCTAGGAGATTACTGCCACGTACGTTCCCCCTTCCTTTTTTCCACACCTCCAAACCTCAACCTAACAAATCCTCCAGGTCCCACCCCGCAAAGTCTTCTTCGTCCAAGTCGTCGGCATGATCGCTGGCACGCTCAGCTCCGTCTGCGTCCTGAACTGGGGCCTCGGCCACATCGACGGCGTGTGCACAACAACCGGGGTCAACGGCTTCACCTGCCCCTACTCGCGCACGCACTTCAACACCAGTCTGATCTGGGGCGCCATCGGCCCGCGCAATTTCTTCAACAATGGCATCGGCTATCACCGCCTCCTGTACTTCTTCATCATCGGCGCCATCCTTCCGATTCCCGTGTACTACCTCCAGCGCCGCTACCCCAACTCCCTGTGGCGCCGGGTCCACGTCCCACTGTTCCTGGGCGGGCTGAACTACCTCCCGCCCGCGACCGGCACCAACTACGGCAGCTGGGCGGTCGTCGGGCTGACCTTCGGCGTGCTCATCCGCAAGCGGCTGTACCAGTGGTGGTACAAGTACAACTTTGTGCTCAGCTCGGCGCTGGATTCGTCGGTCTCCATCGCTGGCGTGGTCATCTTCTTTGCTATCTTCTACAGTGGCGCGTCGGCGCATTTTAGCTGGTGGGGGACGGAGGTGTATAAGGATACGTGCGATTATAAGGGGTGTTCGTATCTGCCGATTCCGGAGGGGGGCAAGTTTGGAGTTGGGGTGTAATGTTCCGTGAAAGGGGTGGGGATGAGTTGATAGGGGAAACATGTGAGATGCATCTTGTTCATTCCAGCGTTTGTGCGTGTGTGCGTGTGGAAGCGTGTTTGTGCTGTGTTTGCTTAGACTTCGTTGTTTGGGATGCACGCTCTGCAAATATCTTGGAGGTACAAGCAATGGTTCACGCTCTGTGTTATATAATGCTATAATTTATTTGTTGATGCCAGTATGGCCCCTAGGAAAGAAATCGGGACCGTTCTCCTCTTCATCTTAGGAGATAGATTCCAAGTCTTTGAAGTGGACTAGATCTATGGGCTTCGATTAAGTACAGTCTCGAGCGGACCGGATAGATACATCTCTTGCTCTATTGGGAGGCTAATTCGGAATGACGATAATATAGACATATCCTGCGCAAACATTGCTTCGTACATAAGACAAACATTAATAAGTCCCAGTGCATACGACCCCAGGGTGTGGAAAACAGAGTTTCCCTTCCGCTCGGCCGTACTTAAGCCAGCTATTAGACGCGGCTATTTGCCTCTTGGAATAACTAAACACAAGTACGTGAAACTGGAGAGTCACGTGGCTCATCCCCCCCGTCCATTAGAGCCATGAGTGCCCTAATCGCCCATAGCAGCCTATAGAACGTCTTCTTGCGCTCCCCAGTGCAACTTGTCCATGCGCCGATAGTAACTTGCATCCGCCTCTCCATCTTCCTTGGGGGTGTCGACAGCCCTAGAGCAGAGTGGGTGACATATCCCGATAGCATTTGATTGCATGCTGGCACACCCGTTGTCCACCCGATACTCGCGACAGATATCACATTTTCCACTCGTCCGGTATATGCAATTCTCCTTGGGTATAGCAACCATAATCGTAGCAGAACATATTGGCCCGCATTGCCGTCGTCAGGATACCACCGTATCCAGATCGTAGGTCACCAACCAGTCGCCGGCCGGCTCATGCTCCGGCAGTTTGAGGTCCGGATTGTGCCGGTTCATGCCTCTGGCAAAGAGCACCCGCGCATAGCAGGGGTCGAACACGAAGGTCGTTTCGCCCGTCACCCGGTTCTTCACTTCCGCCGTGGCCTTGATCTCGTCAATCGCGATGCACTCGTCGAGTTGCGGCACGGAGGCCTTTTCAATTTGGAGCTTGATGTGCTGGGCCGTCCCCGGGTCGAATCGCGTGTCGAAGTATAGGGCGTTGGGGCCGGCGGCAGCCACGTAGGGGGTAGCTGGCGCCACAACCTGGCGGCCTAATGCGGTTTCAATCACCTCCGGGACGTAGCTGCTGTTCCGGTATTCCTTTTGGAAGGTTGGTGAGCCCTCACATGGTCGGAACGGGTTCAGGAGCATGGTGACCAGCAAGAGTGGGAAGCGCCTAGTGAGGATCAGGGTGGGAATAAAGAGAAGGGAAAATGGATTATACTTACTGCCACCTTGGTAGGTCGGTGTGTGCGGAATTTGTAGCATGCTTCTGTGAGTGGCGTGAGAGTTCCGGTTCATAGCATTGAGGATCACAGGTCCCTGCGCAGCAGACACTCCCACTAGTTCGAATTGTTAAAGCCACGCCAGGAACGATTGGTCACTGCATTGCCCTTCCAATGCTACCGTTACAGACTCGGCGACGCCGAAATGAGGGGTCAGTTGTCAAATGTTGCTGCCTATGTTGGGTTATGCTTGTGGTGCTAATTGCTAGGAGGCAATTGTAGTTCGACCTACACTACAGGCGAAATGGTCTTAAGTGGCATCTAATGGTCCGCTTGTGGCAACCTTGAATTATGTCACAGCTTCCTTTCAGAGTAATGATTGGAGGCCATTGAGTAACCAAACAGAGACTACCATATGGTCCCAACGCAAAAACATCGTTTAACCCCTGGAAACCCCGAGGAAAAAGATCTTTGGAGAAGATGCTTCCCAATTCAATTATACCCCACTACAACACATGCAGCGCATAAATGACTCTTCCGAGTTCAACTGTAAGAGACGATTCTTAGAAATGACTTGACAAGATAGTTCGATAAGCCAAGATTAATTTGTAAGTTGTACTAATTCCTCAAAGAGTATACTTATCTTATACTCCCACTGGAGCTCCGAAGAATTAACAAGGATCGTTATTTGTCCCCCCACCCTTGACCTGGTGATTACTATAAGGGTCTAGAACCTCTTTAGCCCGATACCGTGAGCTTGTCTTTCACTTTAGTACCTCTGTAGACAAGACCCCGTGACATTGTCTTGCTCCCCGCACCCCCTCAGATTTTGTGCTTCTCCCCGCTGTTATTCTACGCGGCTTTATCAGACTTGATGGATAGTCCTTCGCGACAAAAGAAAATCTGTCGATACTGCTTCTATACACTGTTCCCTCTGGGCGGCTATACAACGGGCCCGCCGGGTTATGTCCGATACTCGCTGAGTTCAAGCAAAGCTAAAGCCATAGCATTTATCCAGATTTCCATCTACCTCAACCCCTCGTGTCGGTGAGCGATCGAGAAAAAAGACCTTCGTTTGGGGGGGCCAAATACATTGACCGATTCCCTTTGCTACAGTTCATTTCGCAAACAAAAGGAAAAGAAAAACCCCAATCATCCATACAGCAATGGGGTACCCAACCGCGCAGGACATCCACCGACTCTTCCTCCACCTCCGCGACTATCCCACGGGCCACGATCATTTCTTCCTCGCAGCGCCGGAGGACTCGACATGGCAGATCACCGGGCAGCATCCCTTCTCCGGGTCGTGGACCAAGGCCGGCTTTGTCGCCGAGATCTGGAGCTCCAACTCGACGCTGATCGCGGTGCCGGGCCCTTGTTTCATCATGCCCCGGGGCCTGGACAGTATTGTCTGTGACGAACGGGGGCGCGCGGCGGTTGAGCTCCGGTCAGTCCACACCACTACCAAGGACCTTGGCTTGAGTTACGATCAGGAGTACTCGTGGCATTGCGAATTTGATGGGAGCGGGACACTGCGGGCGGTTCGGATCTATCTGGATTCAATCCATGCGGAGAAGGTGCTTGTGGCGGAGAGAGAGGCGCAGAAGGCGAGGAGAGACTCTATGGCATCATCCGCGGTGAAAATTTGAAAGTGCAATGGTTCGAGCTTATCCATGCGACGCATGAAACGCATATTCCCCGCGGGAAACGTTCCAGACATAGTCTATAACGACTTCAGGTCCCCTTATTCAATCTGAGGCCAAGCGTCTACTACCTACCATTGAAAACTGGTTCATCTCCGCTCGAGCTTGGTCTCTTCTTCGTCATTCCTCCCTCCGATCGTGACGGCGGAGTTTAAGATAATGTTATGTACATACGCACTCGATGCACCGGGCAATCGAAGACTGTATGTGAAGAAAGAAATCTTTCCTAGTTGGTATAAGACTTGACATCTGAACAGTGTCAGTGCAGCTGGCCCAACCGTGATTATGTCCTTGGCATGGATCACACGGGTCACAACAGTTTTGGCGAATCAGTATGTCTTGTATCACGCACGCCATTGAGCACGTCATATCTTATTTTCGACAGTTAGAATCCTGTTGAGTCAGAAAGAAGGATTGCGACCTCGTGTAGGATGATGAGAGATCCTACTAGAAGTAAGATTGTATCGTCAATCACGCAAATCATGATCCAATGCCGATTGGTAAGCACGGACGCGCACAGATTGATAATGATTTACGGCTGATGCGGGGTGGCCCGCTTCCATATAAGAGGAACAACTCTCCACACCAGATAACACATCCAGCAAGAAGCTTGCCACCTCAGTCCAAAAGAATTGTTATAATATCTCTGCACTACAACTCATTCTTCCCCATACATCCGAGTACCTAAGACTACACACCAAATGTCCCAACAAACCCAGACCGCGCTACTGGTGACGGAAATCGGCAAGCCGTTGACCAAGGGCACGCGGCCCATCCCCGAGCCCCAAGAGAACCAAGTACTGGTGAAAATAACCGTGGCCGGTCTCAATCCCCACGACGCCAAGTCGCGCGACTACGGTCTTTTCATCCAAGAGTCCCTTCCCGCCGTGCTCGCCGCGGACGTCGTCGGCGTCGTCACCCGCCTCGGGCCCAACGTCTCCCGCTACCAGGAGGGGGACCACATCGTCGGCCAAGCGGGGCTGACCCTCGCCAACAGCAACGACACGGCCGGACTGCAGGAGTACGCCATCCTCGACGCCCGCTACTCGGCCAAGGTGCCATCTGGCTTCACCGACGCGCAACTCGCCACGCTGCCGACCAACCTGGTGGCCCCGGCCGTCGCCCTGTTCGACGCCAGCGCGTTGGGGATCCCAGCACCCTGGACAACGGCTTCCCCTGACTTCGACCACCACGCCACCTCGCTCCTGATCATCGGCGGGGGCTCCAACACGGGCCGCTTCGGGATCCAGCTGGCCGCGCTGGCGGGCCTCGGTCGGATCATTGTGGTAGGGAGCGCGCGTAGCGCGGCCGAGGCGCAGCGCCTGGGGGCGACGCACGTCATCAATCGCGCCGACAAGTCCGGCGCTGAGATCGCGGCGGAGGTGCGGGCCATCGTCGGGGATGATCTGCTCTACGTCTACGACGCGATCAATCCGCCCGAGAACCAGTATATTGGCGTGGAGGCCTTATCGAATACCCACAAGGGCAAGCTGGCTCGTCTGCTTCCTACGGGTCCCGTGGACGAGACCAGGTTGTCTGCGCCCAAGCCGGCAGGCTTTGAGACGTTGAATGTGTTCGGCCTGTCAGCCGTGCGGCCCGCAACGGCGGCGCCGCTGTGGGAGCACGTTACTGAGTGGGTGCAGGCTGGGAAGCTCGTCCCCACGGAATCGTCGGTCATCGAGGGGTTGGATGTGGATGCAGTGAATCGGACGCTGGATGGCTATTCGAATGGCTCTGTGAGCGGACATTGGCAGATTCGGTTTTGAGGAGCAGGGAGAAAGGTGTATTTGGGGAACATGCACAGGTCAGTAGTGTCAACGATGCGGTTGACACACGGTTATGATTTTAAATCTCTTTAATTTTGGAGACTTTTTTTATAGGATAATATAATGTTTATCGGATTAAGGCTTTATGGGTTGGTACTGGAGCATTGCTGCTTGATCTGTATGTGTGATATTCTAGTCAAGGAATGCCATGCTCTGTGGATGTTGAAAAGAGAGGATGCTCTAGGTGCCATGTATGAGAACAGGACGTAGGTAGCCCTAAAGAACCTACTTCTCTCGCCCCTTCTTCCTTCTGTTGAACCTCCTTTGTGCTCACGTGAGACCAGCCAAAGTGCACATCCAAGGCATGTTTAGGGGCAGGTGCTATGACACCCTTTAACCCACAGACCTTGGCTTGCATCATAGACACCAAATCTGAATAGTGTTGAGATAGACTATCTAGTCATTTAGCCGACTTCCTTAGCGCTGACAGTAAGTTAAGTTGACCTGTCTGACTAAGCCACTACAAAGAATGACTCACAGCAACAAGGAAACATAATTCCTCTCACTCCTGCATTTCTTAATTCCCATTCAATCACATTACGACCGCACGAGTCACATCTAAAATGGAAGGCCCCCTCAGCCCCACAAGACCAGCTCAAATCACCCTCATCTCATATGGCCATGCTAACGGGCCTGTGGTACAACAACCTCGGGAGGCCCGACATCACCAAACCTTAGCCTACAACATTCGACACTTGCCCAACCCACCCCGCCATCTGCGGGTCAAATCAACCGGCCTGTCGCGGCGGTTGCAGAAAGAATTCCTCCAGAACGACGCGGTCGAGGCCTTCTTGGTCAAGGTCCAACGCGAGATAGTCAACGCAGTCCAAGAAAGCTGCGCACAGCCGCTGTGTTCCACAGCGCAGGAAGAAATTCATGAGGAGACCTCGCAGACTGATACGCCCCAAATTGGGGATGGTCATTCCAGGGAAGAGCCCGGCGGTGAATGCACAGATGTCGAAATCGTGGCGACAATATGTTGCGAGGAGGGCCGTCATCGGAGTGTGGCGTTTGTGGAGGAACTCGCCCGACGGCTGGCTACCGTCGAAGAAGGGGATGGTGTCCTGCAGGGCTGGGTATTGAATGTGAACAAAATGCATCGCGATATTGAAGATCGCGGGGTTTGTAAGCAACTTCAAGGTCAGGGCAGGCGTCCCAACAAGGTTCAGGCTCAGACTCGACAGCGAGAACGACGTGAGAAGGGAATTCGGTTTGGGTCGCGGCTTGGAGACGAAGATGACACGAACCATTTTCATTGATCCTGTAGAAAATTATATTATATGTGCGATGTAGAGGCTAGACTATGTACACCAATGCATCTCTGTGCAGACCTTCTCAGTAGCATATACTTTCTTCCCCGAGTCCTCCATAGAGGCGAGGAACATCGGACTAATCTCAATAGTGGTGAATGCCATGACTCGCTTGTATAAGTAATAGATTGGGGCGTACAGACGCATCACGCTAGTCGCATCGCACTCTTCTTTTGTTTGAGTGGCCGATATAGTCCTCCATGCGCAGTGGGTCTCCTGCAAATCCTGGGTCTCGTTGCAGGTGGTCTGCTGGATGGTGAAACGTACGGGAAAGTCCGATTGTGAGCGTCTTTCACCAGACCTGGACCAGCATATCCTTCCATAGACCAATTCACTGGAGTAAGTGCCATCACTGTATCCCACGCACGCTCCTGTACTGCGTGATCTAAGAGCGCTTGATCCGCACTGCTTAGTTCGGCAACACTAACAATCGCCCCCTTGTCGGCTAGAAAGTCTGCCAACTTATTATCAGCGTCTTGCAGTGCGCCATGCAGCGCCTAAACTCCCCCCCGCCCCCCGGCCCGCGCTGGGTCTGCGCTCTACCGAAACAGCAGCTGAATTATCTCCTACCGCCGACCTGTTGCTTGTGGCGAAAATGGATGTCGACCGGCCTGCATGTAACCATTCCCTACTGCAGAGGAGAGAGTCCCCCATTTTTCGTTATTGTCGATATTTGGATCAGCACCCGTCTCACGAAGGAGCCGATACAAGTACGGTTGGTGACAGTAATGCCAAGGTTGGCGGACCACAATCGTGAATCATCAGAATAGAGGAAGCCAACGTTGACTCCAGTTGGGAGGATCATCCTGGTCACCTCAATATCCTTGGCTTGCTCTACCGCATATGGCCGTGCAAAGTGAATGGATTCCCAGGTGGTAAAGGGCTGCAGATGCTCTCAACGCCTGGCCTCTTCCAGCAGCACCTGCAGCAGCTCCAACCCGAACTTTTAATATCGCACTCCCTCGGGAAGAGATAAGGTATGTTTACTCCAGGGATCGACACCGCATCCAAGAATGATAGGGATCGAAGTCTCAAGAACCACGAAAACGTCAAGAGCCGTTTGGAAAACTTGCCGGCAATTTTCACCGCGTTCACGTGAGTCTCAGGACTGTTCCCCGGATCGAAGCATTTGTTCATAGGTAGGTATCCATGTTATAGGAGGTCAACATATGGTCTTGAATATCGATAATCAAGGTATAGGTGGTTGGTGGTGTGTTGTAATGGTGTTGCAAGGTAGACGGCGAAAGTAAGAAAGAGGAATGTGTACCCAAAACACTGCTGCCGCCGAAATACCGACACAGTGTGCATCAGCTCTTATCGTCTATACTCGCCCTGAATTTCGGTGAAACTGCCGGGGTTATATTGGTCGATGGGGCTACCACAGATGGACTCATAATCTCCCTCTGGGTTGGTCTTAGCCAAAGAGCCCAGACAAACAGTCAAGTCATCGCTTGTGAACTCGTCGGTCTCTTGCGTCATGGCTTTTGGATTGTCGTCACGCTTACCTCGGCGGGAATGGGCAGCATGTCAGTAAACGCCATACTGCCGTACACGACGGGATCCATGGTCAGCGGTGGTGCTTAGCCATCGTCAAAATATGATTTACTCCTAGGTGAGCTGAATTCACCGGACCCCTCGACTTTAAACAAATTCCTATTGCAGCAGACGGCGATATCAAACGCGTCGTTCTGCAGACCGCCAAGAAGTTGGTTCGCAAAGGCTGCCTGTGTTAGGTCTTGAACCCTGTTTTTGAGCCTCATTCGCTGCTTCGGAAACTCGAAATCAAGATCAAGAGAGAGATCAATAGGAGGTCGGCCCAGTATGACAGTAGCCTGCGTTTCTATCATATCGGCCCACCAGCTAAACAAGGCCTTTGCCAATTCTCTGCCTACCACAGACTCTTTTTAAGATTGTTTCCTAACCCTCTATTCAGGTACTGTTCCATACTACCAAGCTTGTGGTAGCAGACGAACAAACTCCCAGAAGACATATCGGCAATGAAATTCTCTACAAAGCCACCCCGCCGCTCTGCGATCGACTCTGCCACACTGTTAATAGCAGAGTATAACTATTCAGATGTCGTGCCCATAAAGGATACCTATAGTGCTTCCATGGCTTCTGCTATCGAAGGAGAATTGAGATTGATATTTGCTGGCGCCGGCTCTAAAATTAATCCCTGCCCACCGTCAGAGCAAAGCCGTTTCGTCGAACAGGGCCCCCTTGGTGCGATGTCCATGCAAGGGGCTATGGCAGTCACGTGGTGTCTAGGTATCTCTTGTCGCTGCCTACGCCAGGCTTCACTAACATGCGTTTAAAACATGGCACATGGTTTCGTCGTGTAGATAAGTCAAGTTGTGCTACATTTCAATAGAGCCAGTCCCCATCAATCAGCAATCCGAACTACCATTTTCAGGGCGTGTTGAAAGTCAACTAACTCCGCTCGTTATGGATGTCCCACCGATCCTACGACTTCCAACAGAGATTCTAACTTTAATCTTTGAAAACGTGGCCTCCAGCTACCACGAGACCCGGAAGACCCTGCGGAAGTTTGCGTTCATCTGTCGTCGCCTCACGCAGATTGTACTTCCTCTGTTATATCGTGACGTGTTGGTCAGGGTGGCGGCCGGCAGGGCCCTAGAAGCTCTGTTCGCCGTGCTACAAAAGCGGCCACTATACTGTGAAATTGTCAGAGGACTTGTGATTCAGATGGACGATTCCATCGATATCCACAGACGCAACCTGTATATTACGTGCGATATTATCACCTGTCTCACCAATGTCAGAGCCTTGACCTTTCGTGGGGGCTGGGAGCGTTACCCGGACCAAACGTGGGGCCTGGTTCACCGGGCATCTCGGAGCATGCCAGCACTGGAGACTTTGTCTCTAAACCGTATGGGGGAAGGCTTGACCGTCCGGGACATACTCGAAATTGTGCAGATGCCCAACCTGCGCCAACTGGAGCTTAGTGGAATTGATTTTCGGACCCCGGGGCGCACTGCGAGGGCAGAAAGACAGGCGAAGAGGCCCTCCTGCCAACCAGATAGCACGAAGGGCACTGCTCAGTTCTCCAGCCTTCACATTCAGGACTACGATGTTAAGTCCGCGGCATTCCAAGAGCTGATTCTCTGGCCTAAGGCCTTGATCCATTTCCACGCCTCGATCTTGTGGGATAGCAGTCCGGAATGCCAGGTTGATCTCTCGATGCTTAGCACATGGCTCTTTGCCCACAAGGACACTTTGCAAACCATCGATATTACATTCATTGATTCCTTGCATTCAGGCAAGCTTTTCCAGACCAGGGGATTCATCGCCCTGGAGCGCCTGACGCTGCCCTGGTGGCAGATCCGAAGATATGGTAGTTGGCAGCAGGAGGACGAAAGAGACCCGCCATTCATCTTTCTACCCGCCCACACGGACGCTCTTCTCTGCGCGCCCCGTCTCACGACCCTCAATCTGGACTATGGCCTGAGTGTCCACGGTGTGGATTCCTGTGACACGTTCGGGGAGGTCGAGGCCCGCTGGATCCTGGAGTTGGCCCGCGCGGCATGGGCGAAACAGGCCGCGCTCCGAACGATCTGCGTTAGGTACAGACCGGAGCCGCATCGTCTCGACGAGGTTTTGGAGTATCCATGGGATCGTCTAGTCCGACTCCGGGAGGATCTCCAACCGCTGGGAATCAGATTGGAGTGGGATGAGCCGTCGTTCTCGGAGGAGGAGTGGATTCAGGCGCGCATGCAGGCCTCCCCGCCATGGGAGGCGATGCGTGGGAGTGAAAGTCCCCCGCTGGATGATGGGATGCTGTTTGGTTGCGGGCTGTCGAAGAACGGTGAGCCTAGTGTGGAGGAACAGGAGGCCTGGGAGTACGCTCACAGGGCAATCAGATAACAGAACTAGCTACGATCCAAAAACAGATCTTGACGATATTTGCCATTCCCTGAAGCCCCCAACTTTTACTTTCTTAGATTTCCCCAAATAACCCTAAGTGAGCATCCATCGGGGCCTTCTTCCACCGACAACGTTCTTCATCATTTCATTTATCTACGCTGTATATCAGTCACTCTAGCTTAAAACCTGGGACCTTGCCTGCCTCAAGCTTCGACTGTAGTCACAGTACCAAACGACAGCCACGGTGGTCCTCGGTATTGTGTTCATTCAGCTCATGGTCGCTGTAGCCTCAATACTTACGGGCCACAGCCGTGGAGATGAAGGCTGCACAGAACTTGTCCCAGTCACTCCGAACACTGTAGATATACTCAATGACGATGTCACTTCCATCGCCGGGGTCAAAGAAGAAATGTTTCGCAGTATAACTGGCGACCTCGCGCGCCTCGTCAATGACTCTAAAGTACTGGCGCTACGGCTCTCGGATGGGTGGTCGCGGCATCTCACTACTGCAGTTTGAATCCCGGTTAGCCTCTAATATCCTCTAAACAGAGGAGAAATTTGGGATTGCTGTATAAACTAACTTAGGACTTCGAGCGATTTTACCACGGGAGCGTGATTTATCTCACCAGTTGCAGCCTTAGGCAGCAGCCCCTGTTAATCAACAGCTTCAGCTTCAACCTTCAAGCCGATATGATTGGATCAATGATGGGTGGAGCATACACGTGCTTTTCAAATGTGTCCAATCAGCATGCGGCGTCATGCTCTTGCTGGCCTCAGGCCACGGGCCCGTGCCTGGCAGCTGTTGACCAATCAAAGGGGAACAATGCAGGCACATGGTCACTGTCGGGAATCTCCGCCTTTTCCTCCGTACCTGCAATGCTTGATGGACTGTTCCCCACTGCCGGGTTTATCACCAACCAGCATCTTCTTTTTATCAGCTTTTGATTACACTAACGTCTCTATGGCCAGTCTGCTGCAGCTTCAATCGCCTGCTCTAACCGAAGGGCTTGGCCAATTGCTGTTCTGGGGACCTACACGTGTGGTCTCGTGCCTTGCTTTGCCGTCTTATCTACTGCATACAACCGATGAGATAGCCATGCCGAGCGAGAAAGTTATAAAAGACCGTGGTCATGCCGCTCTCGAATGCCTGAGCAGATGCACGTCAATTGAATATTCCATTCCCCGTCAACATTCTTGTACGGAGCTGAAGGCACGCGACCATGAAGACCGCTGCTGCATCCGCCTTGCTGGTGGCCCTCTCCGCCACGCTTGCTCACGCACGTCCTGTCGCCGATGAACGCTATCCATACACTGGACCGGCCGTTCCCGTGGGAGACTGGGTGGACCCGACTGTCAATGGCAATGGAAAGGGCTTTCCGCGTCTGATTGAGCCCCCAGCCGTCCGGCCCGCCAGCGCCAACCCTCGCAACAATGTGAACGTCATCTCCTTGTCGTACATTCCCAAGGGCATGCACATCCACTACCAGACCCCCTTCGGGCTAGGACAGACCCCATCCGTGATCTGGGGCAAGAGTCCTCACCAGCTCAACAAGGTGGCCCGCGGTTATACCCACACGTAAGCATTGAAGTCTTATCCTGTGCACTCACCCGAGAGAAAGCAAATCCCCTAACATCGGACCAGCTATGCCCGCACGCCGTCCTGCTCCGAGATCAAGATCACCACCCAGTGCAGCGAGTACTTCCACGAAGTCAGCCTGGAAAACCTCGAACCCGGGACGACCTACTACTACCAGATCCCGGCCGCCAACGGCACGACCAAGTCGGAAGTGCTGAGCTTCAAGACCGCGCGCGAGGCCGGTGACAAGGGCTCCTTCAGCGTCGCCGTGCTGAATGACATGGGCTACACCAATGCGCACGGCACGCAGAAGCAGCTGATCAAGGCGGCCAACGAGGGGACGGCCTTCGCCTGGCACGGCGGTGACATCAGCTACGCGGACGACTGGTACGAAGGCACCTTGGCGTGCGAGTCCTCCTGGGACGTCTGCTACAATGGCACCAGCACGGAGCTGCCCGGAAACCTGCCGCTGCCGGACGAGTACAAGAAGCCGCTCCCCGCGGGGGAGATCCCCAACCAGGGAGGTCCCCAAGGTGGCGATGTCAGCGTCATCTACGAGTCCAACTGGGACCTGTGGCAGCAGTGGCTCAGCAACGTGACGGTCAAGATCCCATACATGGTCATGCCCGGTAATCACGAAGCCGCATGCGCGGAATTCGATGGGCCAGGCAACATCCTCACGGCCTATCTGAACGACGACATCGCCAATGGCACTGCCGCCGAGGATAAGTTGAACTACTACAGCTGCCCCCCTTCTCAACGGTGAGCACTTCCCCCGCTCCCCCAACTGTGATCGGTACTGACGAGCTGATGCAATCCAAGAAACTTCACTGCATACCAACATCGCTTCCGCATGCCCGGCGAGGAGACCGGCGGCGTGGGCAACTTCTGGTACTCGTTCGACTACGGCCTGGCGCACTTTGTCTCGATCGACGGCGAGACCGACTTCGCCAATAGCCCCGAGTGGCCCTTCGCGGAGGACATCAAGGGCAACGAGACGCACCCCACAGCGGAGGAGACCTTCATCACTGACAGCGGGCCCTTCGGCGCGGTGGACGGCAGCTACAAGGACACCAAGAACTACGCGCAGTACAAGTGGCTGCAGCAGGACCTGGCCAAGGTCGACCGCAGCAAGACCCCCTGGGTGTTCGTCATGAGCCACCGCCCCATGTACAGCTCGGCGTACTCGTCGTACCAGCTCCACGTGCGCGAGGCCTTCGAGGGCCTGTTGCTGAAGTATGGCGTGGATGCTTACTTCTCAGGGTGAGTCTGGCCCCTTTTGCCGGGCGCAAAGCCCCGCCTTTCCTCGGTTACAGACAATCTAACCCAGCACAACAGACACATCCACTGGTACGAACGCCTGTACCCCCTCGGCGCCAACCAGACCATCGACACCGCCAGCGTCGTCAACAACAACACCTACATCGCCAACAACGGCAAGTCGATCACCCACATCATCAATGGTATGGCGGGCAACATCGAGAGCCACAGTGAGTTCAGCGAGGGCCAGGGGCTGACGAACATCACGGCCGTGTTGGATACCGTGCACTACGGGTTCAGCAAGCTGACGGTCAAGAGCGAGACGGAGGTCAAGTGGCAGTTTATCCGCGGGGATGATGGGTCGGTCGGAGACGAGGTTACGTTGCTGAAGCCTTCTGCCGTGAAGGCGAAGGGGAAGGGCAAGGGCAACGGAAAGGCGTATTCTGGCTTTCGGGCTTGAAAAAAAAAGTTCACGAAGTAGGGGTAGTCGTATGACTGCTGATGATGTATGTACTGTATAGTGGGCCTATCGATGTTAATATCATTGTTGTTGCTGTGAGTATGTTTGGTGGTGCACTGCCCACACGCTGCTCGCCTTTTGGGTCATTTCACTCTTTCCCAGACCCATCCACGTGCTGTGACTTTGACTGTAAGATTTCACTGCTGCAGAAGGACTTCTTTCGATATCAGTCGTCTTTCGAACGTGGTGTGTCGATTCAGCCTCAAGTATACAATCGGACCCTCTAAAGTCATTCTGCATCATGGTTACATACTCATGTGATATCGATGCACCCCCGATCTTCTTCAGTTTGAGTCATGTGACCGCATCTCTATAGTAGGAGAGTGAGGTCTTCCAGCCAGCCCCTCCGTGAAGATCCCCGTGTGTGCTGCATTGAGGTTCCTTCAACTGACGCGCGATGGAAGAACAAAGAAGCGAAGTCCAGCAATCGAGTGCTTTGAAATAATGGCTTTGTCATAGAGCCATCGCATTGTACTGTGGTATTGCTGTGATAACGCAGCACACGCTATCTCCGGTGGCTTCTTTCCCCAATGCAGAGATTTTCCTTCTCGATTCATTGTCTCATCTCTGCAACAATCGCCCGGAGAGAAGACGGCAAGATACATCTCTACGCGAAAAGTCATCAGCAAGATAGACCTCTCTTCCGGCTCGTGCTGAACAAGCCTCCGGGATCTGAGTTGACAAGCAACCACCGTTCTACCTCATCATGCCCGCAAGACACGTGCTTCAAGGGCAGATTGAGATATCATCGTTCCAGCTGGTCAAACTAACCATTCGTGTCGAAGTCGCGACCATGGAGACGACCTGACCCCTGTACGAATGCTTGCAACACAGTCGGTGCTACTACAAAGCATCGAAGATAATTCCCGACACGTCTTTCACGACCATCGCAACGATTATGATCGCCTTGCTTTGATCTTCTCTCGACTTTTCAACCGAGGAGCTCCAAGGGATTCCCTTCTCGACACCCTTCAGGTCCAAGGTGTTTAGCATCAGTTGTGCCCATGGAATGGATATAAATAGAACCACATTCATCCCCGTCTCCGGTCTCGACGAGCACTCCATTGCTACACGCACCATCCCGATCAGCCACTTATCTATATTCCGACACCCAGTATAGAGAATGACACCCACAATGTCGTCCACCAAGGCTGTCCCGTCCGCATCCCCATATACCGAAGTAGGCACGGTCCCCAACCGCTGCGAATGCGTCGCGGAGTCCAAGTCCGGGAACTATTGGGACGACGAACCCCTCCGGGAGCAAATCCTCAAGGCCAAGGCAAACCAGCAGAAGGAGTGGTGGATACCCCGGCCCGGGCATTCCCTGGACCTCTGGGGGCGGCTGCTCAGCGACACGTTCGGCCTCGCCGGCGACGGAGAGATCCTCCCCGACAACCTCGATGACACCCTGCCCGCGCACGTGGTGGCGGCGGAGATCTACAACGCGCGGTACCCCTTGACCGGCGTCGTCCGGTACCTCCGCCTCTCGGAGTGCGTCGGGAGGCCCCTCTGGCCGCTGACGGACTGTGCACTCGTGGTGATCGATCTGATCCCCGGGAACTCTTCGAAGCTGGTGCGTGAGGCCTTCCCGGAGCGCGCTAGAGCTCTGGATCGTCTCATTCGGAGCAGCACCACCCCCACCCACAAGGAGGAGGAGCCACGCATAAAACAGGAAGGGAGGGAGGAGGAGGAGCCGGTGAAGGAACTCGTCCGATACCCCTTCATCCGAGTCTTCTGCACCTGGGGCGACAAGGAGCACCCGGACCCGTCGCTGGACGAGTGCCGCGAAATCGTCACCCAGCTGGGGATGACGGACGAGGCGCGCCGCACGTGTCGGGCGTTCTTCCTCGCCAGGGGCTCCAGGGTCGGCATCTATACGTGGGATCGGAGTGGGCCGCAAGGCCGCCCGATCCAGGACCGCACGGTGCTGCCACTGCGCGTCCACCCGGACCAGGGCGATGACCCCTTCCTCTGCCTGGCGGACGATCATGCGCGGGTGGGGAAGATTGTGCAGCAGCTGTCGAGGGAGGTGCATGCCGTCCTCAAGCTGGCGGCATTCTGGTAAGTCCTCTGGTCCAGGCGCTTTTCTTGTTCACACCGCTGTCTTGCCGTTAGTGTACTTTGCCTTACAATCCAAGTGACTATATTCATGATTTTTCGTTCTATCTCTCCTTTCCCTTTTCCTGTTTCCTTGTTCCCTTTCTTTTGCTGTCCGTTAGAACTCTGTTGTGTCAATGTGCATGAACGCCCCATTCTTTGTACCCGAGAACGCTGCTGACGACAGGAAGCCGCGCCCATCTTGAGCTCCCTTCAATTTTGGTCAGCACAGCTGGCCTATGACAAGAAGCCACCATAAGCGAGAGTATAAAGCATCATGCGTGCGTGCATAATTGCGGACAAGAGTCCATAGTCTCCTGGTCTGTACGGAGACTCCTCTACATCATGCTTTGTGCTTAAGCCAGCTGTGACCGAGTGATAGTTTGAGGACTGCTGCTTGGAGGACTGCATAAAAGCCACCGATTGTGAGCAAGGAGGTATAAGTATTCGAACCCCGGATAAAAAAATTTGATTCCAAGTCGAGGGTGTTGTTGTTGTTCTCTTACCTTGGGAGGGTTACCGGAGGGAGATAAACGCTAGATCCGATCAGATTAATAGCGGACGGCCAGGAAGTCCGCCCGGCCTCCGGATGCGCCCGGAATTGCTCGGCTCGACACACCTGGCAATGCAATTCCAGCTGCCTTGTTCCACGGTATTTCCCCTCATAAATGTCATAAATTAGAATAATTACCCCACCTTCTGAGCGAGGGATCATAAATCAATAATCACATTTCCTGTTGCACTGCTGAAGGTGTTGTCGTCATGGCGGACCGCGGCCCCCCTCTCCCCTTTCCCCAATCCCTGTGATGTGGTGAACCGTTGCGGCGTGCATTAGACCTCTCTGCATTGTACTTATGCACTTTCCAAATTTTCCCTGCAATAACAGCACGGCATTGGAGATCCATGGCACAGAGATAAGCGAGAGGCCAGATGCGCCCTCCAAGCTGGCAAAAGTACCAGATGAGGGGAAATGGAACTGTTTTGGGCCATGTGCTGCTCCAACCCTGGCCATAAGCGGGCCGACTATAGAGACGATCACCCTGTCACTCCGAAGCTTACGGTCGCATTGTGTCTGGAAATGTTGATCAGGTAGCATGAAGAGAGAGAGAGAGAGATACGATGGGTCAACCGCCGTGGCGCTCTTATTATGAGTCTCAATTGCTATTTGCCCGTTCTCTTCCGATATTCCAGGGCTGATGTCGGGTGGGCTCACCTGGAAAGAAGAAAGAGAGTAATTGTTGTATATCTTGCAGGAGCTCCGCACTAGGCGGGATCTCAACCGCATGGGGTGATGCAGCGAGATGGCTCCACGTCAACCCTGCCCATACGAGGACCCCCCGGTCATCATCTATTCCCCCGACCGTGTAAACACTATAGAATGCAGCCTCTGATAGGGTGTCACGAGTCAAACCGTCTCGTAACCGAAGGACAGAAACCTGCCAGAATCCATGATCCCGACCGATGCGGCCGAAGGGGAAACCCCCCCCAGGTGCCCCAAAGGGGAATAGCGCCGAACGTGGCCAGCCCTGACGACGTCATGGACTTCCGGCCAGATTCGGTCGATGATGCATCAGTGCTTTCACTGTCAGACCATACCTTACCACTCACTCCCTTATAAAGATGGAAGAGGGGAACACAGCTATCACACACAAGGAGTATCTCCCCTCCATCACCTAAATCCCCCATTCTGCAATCACTCACTCCATTTCACAATGCCCTCCGACGAGCTGAGCATATCGGCCTACGGTGCCGCCCGCTCCACCATCAAGGGCGAACCCCTCGATGCTGAGGAGATCCGCAAGACCGATGCCTATTTCCGCGCCAGCTTGTATTTGTGCCTGGGCATGCTCTATCTCCGGGACAACGTTCTGCTGCAGGAACCCCTGAAGAAAGAACACCTGAAGGCCCGTCTTCTCGGCCACTGGGGGTCCGATGCCGGCCAATCTTTCACCTGGATTCACATGAACCGCCTGATCAAGAAATACGACCTGGATGTGCTGTTCATCTCGGGCCCGGGCCACGGCGCCCCCGGGATCCTCTCGCAGTCGTATCTGGAGGGCGTCTACTCCGAGGTCTACCCGGACAAGTCCGAGGACGTGGTGGGGATGCAGAAGTTCTTCAAGCAATTCTCCTTCCCCGGGGGCATCGGCAGCCACGCCACGCCGGAGACGCCGGGCAGTCTGCACGAGGGCGGGGAGCTGGGGTACTCGATCTCGCACGCCTTCGGCACCGTCTTCGACCACCCCAACCTGATCACGCTGACCATGGTGGGCGACGGCGAGGCCGAGACGGGCCCGCTGGCGACCAGCTGGCACAGCACCAAGTTCCTGAACCCGATCACCGACGGCGCGGTGCTGCCGGTGCTGCACCTGAACGGCTACAAGATCAACAACCCGACGCTGCTGGCGCGCATCAGCCACGAGGAGCTGTCCGCCCTCTTCTACGGCTACGGCTGGACCCCCTACTTCGTCGAGGGCAGCGACCGCGAGAGCATGCACCAGGCCATGGCCGCCACGCTGGAGCACTGCGTGCTGGAGATCCGCAAGTTCCAGCAGCAGGCGCGCGAGTCCGGGAAGCCCTTCCGGCCGCGGTGGCCGCTGATCGTCCTGCGCACCCCCAAGGGCTGGACCGCGCCCCGCGAGGTCGACGGCAAGCTCCTCGAGGGCTTCTGGCGCGCCCACCAGATCCCCATCACCGACGTGCTGACCAACCCCGCCCACCTCCAGGTGCTGGAGGACTGGATGAAGAGCTACGGCCCGGACAAGCTCTTCGACGAGGGGGGCAGGCTCATCCCCGAGCTGAAGGCGCTGGCCCCGACGGGCAACGCCCGCATGAGCGCCAACCCCGTCGGCAACGGCGGCCTGCTGCGGCGCCCGCTCGACCTGCCGGACTTCCGCCAGTACGCGCTGAATGAGATCGAGCCGGGCGTCTCGGTGCGCGGCAGCATGATCAACATGTCCAAGTTCCTGCGCGACGTCGTCGGCCGCAACCTGACCAACTTCCGCGTGTTCGGGCCGGACGAGACCGAGTCCAACAAGCTGTCCGAGATCTACAAGGCGGGCAAGAAGGTGTGGCTGGCGGATTACTTCGAGGAGGACAACGACGGCGGCAACCTGGCGATGCAGGGCCGGGTGATGGAGATGCTCAGCGAGCATACCTGCGAGGGGTGGCTGGAGGGGTACGTGCTGTCCGGGCGCCACGGGCTGCTGAACAGCTACGAGCCGTTCATCCACATCATCGACTCGATGGTCAACCAGCACTGCAAGTGGATCGAGAAGTGCCTGGAGGTGGAATGGCGGGCGAAGGTGGCGTCGCTGAACATCCTGCTGACGGCGACGGTGTGGCGCCAGGACCACAACGGGTTCACGCACCAGGACCCCGGGTTTTTGGACGTCGTCGCCAACAAGAGCCCCGAGGTGGTGCGCATCTACCTGCCGCCCGACGGCAACACGCTGCTGTCCGTGACGGACCACTGCCTGCGCAGCGCCAACTACGTGAACGTGATCGTGGCGGACAAGCAGGACCACATCCAGTTCCTGGACATGGACGAGGCGATCGCGCACTGCACCAAGGGGCTGGGGATCTGGAACTGGGCGAGCAACGACCAGGGCCACGAGCCGGACGTGGTGATGGCGTGCTGCGGCGACGTGCCCACGCACGAGGCGCTGGCGGCCACCGCGCTGCTGCGCGAGCACGTCCCGCAGCTCCGGGTGCGCTTCGTCAACGTGGTCGACCTCTTCCGGCTGATCTCCAAGATCCACCACCCGCACGGCATGTCCGACCGCATGTGGAAGTCCATCTTCACCGACGACAAGCCCATCATCTTCAACTTCCACTCCTACCCCTGGCTCATCCACCGCCTGACCTACAAGCGGCCCGGCCAGCACAACATCCGCGTCCGCGGCTACCGCGAGAAGGGCAACATCGACACCCCCTTCGAGCTAGCCGTGCGCAACAACACCGACCGCTACAGCCTGGCCATCGACGCCATCGACCACGCCCAGTCGCTGGGGAACACCGCCGCCGGCGTGCGCGAGAAGCTGCTGAACATGCAGCTGATCGCCAAGCAGAAGGCGTTCGACGATGGGTTGGATCCGGATTATATCCGCAACTGGACGTGGCAGTGGCCGAAGAAGAAGTCGGAGGGGGTTTAGGTGCCCCACCCAAGCTCCAAGTTCGACGATCACTTCCTCTATCTTAATGCTCAATTTTTCAAACTAGTTGGCGAATGCTATCCCGAAATCTAGTACCTAGTACAATCTAATGAATGGGATGCCCTTTCCGAAAAGTTCAATACCTCATAACTCATAACCCTGATCATCACTCCGTAGCCCTATTCCCTATACCCCCTACCGGGAAAAGAGACTAGAGCCCAACCTCCAACACCCCCGAATAAGCACACTGCATCTTGATATACTCCGCCGTGCGATTCCGGCACACCCACTGCGACGCATCAGTGTACGCATCCAACCGCACCTCCCCTTGCTCCACCAGACTGGAGTTGCTCGTCTGCACGCGCAACGTGAACCGGTCGATGTGGCTGCCCAATCCGTCGGGGAAGCTGACCTCGTAGGCCGGGTTGTAGCATTTCACGGTCGTGGAGACGGGGACGGGTTGTGTGGGGTGCCTTTGAGACAGAAGGTTAGCCGGGAAAGGGGAGTAAGGGGGAAGAAGGGGAAGAGGGGGAAGGAACGCACCAGTTTACGTTGCAGATGGTTGGGGGGGCGTCGGTGTTGGGGTCGGAGAGGGTCAGGTTCAAGAGGCCGAAGTCGAGGTCGGAGAGGGTGCGGGCGGTGAGGGTGGTGATTTGGAGGGGTTGCAGGGTTTCTCTTTTGGGGATTGTGGGGATGGCGGTGGTGGTGGTTGCAATTGTGATTAGGAGGGTGGTGAGGAGGGCGGGGAGTTGCATTTTGAGGGTTTTGTTTTGGTGGTGGTGGTGGTGGTGGTGGTGGTGGTGTTGTAGTAAGGAGTAAAGGTGGATGTGAAGATTAGGTGGATTTGAAGTGTAAGTGTCTGTTTGGTCGTGTTGGTGGAGTTGTATTCTGATAGAGCGGTGGATGTGGTGGGTGTACAGTGCGCTTTATAACGCCTTCATAAATCCCATCAGTGTAAGGTGGGCAATGATGTGAGACAAGCCCCGCCAGTCAAAGGGTCTGACAGGACGATTGTTGTGTTGGGTGGCTGGGAGTGCTTTTCAAGTTTCAACTGAACAGCACAGCAGCTTCAACGAATCCCGATGTGAGGCTGAGCCCGCCGATGATCCGATCGGCCGTCCACTCCTTGTCAGTGGCTGGCTATTCTTAGCGTCCGCCCCTGATTCTCCACACTCAATGAAGAACAGGGCTGCCTAGGGAGTAGGTAGATTTCTGATCATCCTGCAGAGAGCGTTAACACTACGCACTACGGAGTACTTTAGCATTGTCTTTGAGTATTCTTGTTCTTTGACCGCGACAAAAACTGCTTCATCTATATATCTACATACTGAAGCTACAATTGCCCAAACAATGGACTGGAAGTACCGTACAAAAGGGGTTCAATTGAATTGACTACAGATTTTGAGCAATTAGCCAACGTTAGATGTAGACATTTTATCCAAGCCCTAGTGATGGACTTGCATAAGCCTTTGCTGCATCAAACGCTTCTCAGTAACAAGAAACAAGACCCTGGTTCCCGGCTGTTGCCGCGCCTCGTTTGCTTTCGAGCCCTCGCCCCCATTCACCCCGCTAGCGCTTATCCCTTCTGCCTCGACCCTGGTTTGTCCTACTGGTCGATCCTTGCAATAGCTACAGACCTTATTCCCACCCGTTCACTGGCTGGGAAGATTGTTGGCTGCGGAGAATCCCTCCGAACATCGACCGATATAAGCAGCTCAGCTATTCTGTCTTGCGACCAGTATAGTTGCCTAGAGTACAAGACTCCAATGACCAGGTTGGCACCGGAGAGGATAGTCCAGCTCTGTCGTAGAGTGAATAAATAGAAGAGCTGCGTAATAGTGAACAAGAACACTAATTGAGCCACCAAGCCGGTGTGCCAATTGGCAACTTGCATAGATAGATTTATGCTTGCCGGTGGCCCGGATCGGTTCCTATCGCAGTGCAAACAGACTCTGCGATGAAATTCATATCCAACACCATCGCCACGCAGAGACTACTGCAAACTGCTTTGCTAACCTAGAGGACAGCTTATCTCAGCCCAGTTTCTGGGACTGGAGGCTGGAGTCATCCCGCATAGCCTTTGGCCCCCAATCTGGGGATGTGTTGGTTCGTCGGGCATTGTCAGTGGGTGATGGGAGCATGTAGCTTGCTTTTTCTCATTGCCCCAGTACTGTGGCTGGCCGTTGGTCTCTCTTTCCTGAAGTTGACTTTCTCTCATGGATCAGGATCCACCGATTGATGCTTCTCACAGCTTCTTCGAGCTTACGGTGAATCTCAGGTAGGTCTTTACTGGGGAATGCTTGTCTTTCCTGAGTGGTCCTATTGCATATCTTCTTATTGCTAGACAATTACCTCGCAACCTTCGCTCAGTCATGGTAGGCCAGTGTCAACGTGTGATTGATCGGTCTTCTCATTATATACCTACCTGCCTAGTTGCCTCTTTGTCCAAGGCGCTCTTTCAAAACTACATGAGTATCAGAGTATCCCCCGCCTCAGAATCTCGTCGATGGGCATCCATCATAAGAAAATGTGAGAATCCTATGACGGAGCTAATCATAACCACCGCTGACGCTGCCATGGTCAGTCCGATCCCGAGGTGTGGATATACGACGAGCACGCTCAGAAGGGAGTTTTGGAACACGGAGTGAAGCATTGTTGTGCTTTTTCTTACAACAGAAATTATTTCAGGAATTTTCCGGCTCCATCATGATCAGAAGATTTATATGAGGCGATGAGTGTTGTTTGCGGCTCTGCAGAAGCAGTAATGAAGTCCTTCATAACTTGCCGTTATGCTAGGTCGGCGAACTACATTTGTTGAGAGAATATTTTCATCTCCAATATGTATGTATTGTCAATTTTTTAAGGTGAATGTCCTGGTTACCCAACCAGGAAGAAGCTGAGTTGCCGGAGAGCTTCATTCCCTTCTCTAGGATCTCTTTCAAAAGCTTTCCCTACTACCCAATCCCCATTATAAATACTCCCATGCATCCTTTTCAATGTCTCCTGTTGTTGTAACTTCAACTCGCACGGAGTCCATTAGATCGCGGATAAAGCGACTGGTTTGTTTAATCACGATCTGACTACCCACGACCGCAAAATGTCGACAATCCCTACCTATGAGCCAGGCGATCCAATGCCGACTTTCAGGATCCCGCCTCCGCCAATGGCCGCAAGCGCGTTCTGGAGCATTCCGGTGATCAAAGACTTCCTGGCTATCACAACCCGGACCCAAGCCGTGTGCAAGATAGAGGATACCGCGGAGATGTGGCGAAGGATCTTGGCGGTACGTTTTGATGACTGGAGCCTCGCTTTTAGCCCCGTCAATAGCCCGCTGACCGAACCTCCAGAGAGCCCCGATCTGTCCGATCTGTCCGAGTTGGATGATGACATTGATGATGAAGGCATGAGCTCAGGCTCTGACATCCCATTTCGACCTCCTCCGGGCCTCCTTCCCTACTCGGTCCCGCCGCCGCCGCCACCACCACCATTGTATCTCTTCGGAGCACGCAATGGCATACTGAGCCAGCCCACAGCCGGCAGGCTGGGTATGAGCATTCCACCGGCATCGACCACTCAGCGCGGCGACTCGGCCAACAACGCCAGCAGCAGTGGGTCGGACATTCCTTTCCGGGCTGCTCGCAGGTCACTTCCGTATCCACCGCCCTTGTTCATACGCCAGTACTTGGCGGCTGCAAGGGAGGGCACCCGAGTTGGGCCGATCAGACGGTCCCAGACCCGCCCTGCTGCTAACCCTAAGACCTCACGACGTCCACTGCAGCCATATACACTCCTGGACCCATCTTGGGACCTCGGACCACGCACGCAGATCCCACGTCAGGTTCTCTCTGCCCTGCGTTCGACAGCAAGCCACGAGGAAAACACATCGCGCAGCGATGTCAGCACTCAGCCCGAGGGCCCTGTGCACCCACACGGCGCAGCAACCGGATCCTCTGATAGCGAAGAATCCACCGCCTCCACCATGAGCTGTGCTGCTCCAATCGTGGTCCACGAGCTGGGAACCGCCATCTTCTCGCCCGATGGCACCGAGACGGACTCCAACGCCCCATCCCTGACCTCCTCCTCGTCCCCATCTAACCAAGAGGCACCCTCAGACCCCTACACCTCCGCCTCTCCCACCCTAAACTCCCCCTCCCCGCCTCCCAGCCGACCCTGGGAAATCACCGACCCCACCCTCACCCCAACTTACACCCTGATTCAGACCAAACACGACTGCAGGTCCGTGTCCATGTTGCCCACGGAGATGCTGACGCTGGTCATGACGCGCGCCCTGCCGGGCCACCTCCCCCTCCCGTTCCTGCTCCTCTACTGCCTCCCGGGGATCGGCGACGAGGAACAAGAAGCCGCGATGATCGAGTGGCGCGACGTGAAGGAGCACGCGCTGCACGAGATCTCGGAACTGGTCGACCGGTACACCGACCTCATCGGGGATGACGGGAAGCGGCAGCGCGCGCGCACGCGGCTGCTGGCGGATCTGCGCTTGGGGATCGCCACGGGGTCGAGCGTGCGCATGTACGACTTCGATCGCGGGGACGACGGGGTGTTTCTGCTCGAGGAGTGCGCGTGGGCCAAGCAGGCGGGGCCGCGGTTGGATGTGCGCGAGACGCCGATCGCGTTTTCGAACCTGGTGGATCGCATTGCGGGGTGGGAGAACTAGTTTCACCTCTGGGTATGGGGATAAGGTGTCGAGTGGATGTTTCGACTTAACATAACACCTCGACATAAAAACAAACAAAATAAAAATAAAAAAGTGCCTAGCGTTGCTAGGTTAGATTACCTCTATCAGTAATTTTGTAATACTGCCTGTTCTGTATGAACCCAGCGATCTAGAGCCCCACGATATACATCGTGAATAATATACAGACAATGTAAACCCAATTCCCCTCTATATTTCAGAAAGCTCTAACAAGCGGAAACCAAACTATTCCGCGACCGAACCGGACTGCGCCCCTGCAAGCCGGACCCCTCCGACTCCACCTGCCTGACCACGGTGGTCATCGTGCCCGTGGTCGCCGTCTCCGCGCCCGCGACACACTCATCCCAGCCCTGCGGGGTGGTGACAAACGCACTGGTCGCACTGGTATTCGACAACGGATCGGCATCGTTGAGACTCGGGCCCTTGGCGATCTGCACCAACCGGCCCAAGATGGCATACTCCAGCTTCAGCTTGATGCTGTACGCGACGGGCTTGAACATGACCTGCAGGGCGTAGTAGCCGGCATACTCGATGGCGACGACGGCGAGATCCAGGACGAGGATGACGATGTTGATGACGAGCAGCTGGGCGAGGATGAGGCGGCGGGGGCGCTCGGGCCGCAGCCGCAGCATCTTGATGGTCTCGTAGACGTAGATGCCGGAGAGGAGGGCCTCCTGGACGCAGAAGGCGACGAGCTGAATGCGCTCCATGGCGTTGTAGCCGGCCTGCCAGCGCGGGGCGCCGCCCAGCGCCCCGTACAGAAGCACGGTGGTCGGGATGTGGAAGAGGGCCGCGTCGAGGACGATCGCCCCTAGGATCCAGGTCAGGAGCTTGGGCCGCTGCAGCACCAGGTGCAGCCGCGACCACAGCACCAGCGAGTGGCCCGTCACCATGCAGTACCACGTCAGCACGATCAGGGTCACCGAGATGTAGCGCGACACCTCCGGCGCGAACAGGAACAGCGTGTACCCCAGCACGTGCGGGATCAGGCTGAAGCTGGTGATGAATAAACTCCAGAAGTAGCAGCCCCGGTACGAGTGGAAGGTCGTCAGGCATAAGATCACCAGCTCGATCGCGTTGTACCAGGTGATCGCCGAGAAGGCGCTGATCACGTATTTTTGCACCGTGTCGCCCGGCGTCACGGCGCTGAAGCTGCCTCCATTATGGGTGGCGCGGTCGAAGGCGGACATTGCATTCCAGTCCGGGGCGTGTTTCATCTATCGACGAGAGGACGGGAGGGTTTGCGCATGGTGGTGGGATGCTGGTGCCCCGGCTGTCTGAGGGGTG